AACAAATTGGGATCACTCAATGTTGTGAAGGTTGTTTACCAAAACAGAAAAAAGTTCAAGATTTATCTAAAAGTTAGGCTACTGGTTTTAAAACAGTTTGGGTAGTCTAGCTAAAAACATCAAATTTGGAGGCTAATGAGTATCCAATTTAAAATAAGATTCTGATTCAAGAGAACAAGAATAATGTAAATGATTTGTGTTTGATTTGAATGGATCATGATTTGCTTTGCATATAAAATCATAATTTTTTGATTTGAAAGAATCTAATTTAAATGAACCCAATCATGATACATATGATTTAGTTTTGATTTTGTATGATTATGATATATTTTGATTGAATAAGCTTTGTTTAAAGTGAATAAGTGTTGAATTTGTGTTGAAATAATGATTCAAGTCGATCAAAGGGAGTCGAGTTGGTATTGGTGTGAAAAGTAACAGAAAGGGAGGAATGTTAGAACAAGACAATGTGTGAAAAACCCAAAAAGATTAGTGAGTCAGAGGTTTGATATGGAGTGTTGAGGGGAAGAAAAAGATAGAAAAAATGAGGAAAAGAAACAAGTAAGAAAAAACTGACCATGATGAGATGAGAACCAAGAGCAATAGAGAGTCACACACCCACAAAGTTGCATATATACAACAAATAAACAACTTTTTTTTGTTTTCATGAATACACATGATTTTTGCATATATATGCAAAAATATGTGTGTGCCTTTTGTCGCACTTGGGTTTACCAAATGATGATTTTGGGTTGCATGTGCAACCAAATATCACTGCGCATTTTTGGTGGTGCACATTTGGTCACACATGTTACATATGTGTTACCAAAGGGGGTGTACAGTACACACACAAAGTTAGTCAGTGCAATATGTGAAATCAAAAGCACTTTTTAAAAAACAATACAACCAACACAGTCATATTTCAGATCAGAGCAGGCTTCACAGTGTCATTTTACTAGTCACTGGCAGGCCAGTGAGTTCCATTCACCTCAATTCAATGTCAATTCAATGTCAGTTCAATGTCAGTTTGACCTCCAATTATGTTTGAGTGGGGGATATGTATGGGCTGCATAATCACTCAAACCTTCCAGACATTCTGACACCTTCATGTGTGGACATGCAACCAAACTTTATTCCAGTTCATTCTGGAAGGTTATTTGTCTGCTACTCTAGGCCAAACATTGAGTTTGGATTGATATTGAACTGACATGGATTTGCAATTGGATTGAGATTGGATTGAGGTGGACGTACTCACTGGCCTGCCGGTGAGTAGTAAAATGACAATGTGCTTCAGCCCACTGAACGGCCACCTCTTCAAGAGGAATATCACTGATTCAACCCTGTGCAATACTTGTAAAATAAGAGAAAACACCCACAACCTTCTGCTCTATTGCAGGTGATACTTGAGAGCAAGAGAGTCTTTCAGGAAAACCCGGAAAGAAGAAGGTATCAATATAGCTTGGAATATTAATTCAACAAGTATGTATATGCTATCATGATCATTTCAAATACCCAGATGACTCAATGAATTGTACAAATATCCCAACATGGTCTGAGCCTTTCTCAAAGGAACATTCATTTGCTTCAATCTCTCAAGATGATTATTTACAAACACACAAGGCAAGGTGTCCCCTTCTTGAGAATCTGTGAAGTAAGATGAAGTAGATTACCTTGGAAGAATAAAGGAAAGATGTAAGCAGTCAAAGACTGAACAATTAAAAGAGAGCTTTTGTTTTGGCTTGAGGACCTTGAAGAGCTTCCTGTCTTAAAAACCTTCTGAGGAAACAATCAGACAATTTTCTAATTATTGGTGAGAACAATCTGAATGTTTATTCACCTGTAATGATATGTCATGGCAATCACAACTGTTCAGGCATAATAGTCAAAATTTGAGAAGTCGAAAATCATTGACTTCTTGATTTTGGATTGAAATGACAATACCTTCCCACATGAAATTGAAAAATCTGAATAGACAGTTTTGTGCAGGGGATCTGGATGGAGGGCTGCACATAAAAAAGAGAATGCTTGATCAGGATGGATGGGAGCTGATGGGTCCATAGCACTGTGTTTTGGTTGATTTTGGCCCAAACTTCTACAACCGACAGTGTTGATCATGGCTCAAGTCCCCTGCTCAAGCCTTGGACCTGTTCAATAGATTGACTTGGGCAAGGAACTTGTGTTAAGTTGGAAGATGGGGGGTCTAAACAATGAAGCGGTAGCAAGGGGCGCTGATCTGTCTTGTGCAGTCAATCCTTTCAAGCCAACTCACGGCACAAAATTGGAGGGCTATCAGACATTTGACAACACTGGCTCTTTGAGTCCCAAGATCAAGGAGTACAGCATCTCAATGACTAGGGACAACTACACCTGAGTACATGCAAACTTGGTGGCACAGGAATTGCATTCAACGTGTGGTTCTGTCATTCATCTTTGGCATGGGTGATTGCCGAGATCCTGAAAGACAATATTGAGTGTCAAATTTACTGTGCTACGCCAAATCCATGGTGATGGCTGCGGCAAGCGTTTTGTGGTTGCGAGCTTATGGTTCAAGATGCGATGTGAATCTTTTGAGATATATCCATTCCAAAAGATCTCCTGGCCTATGAAGGACAATAAGACACGTATATTATACAGCCGTTTCAAGAAAGGTTGACAACTTTTTTTGGAGAAAGTTGTCTCCGCAGCGGGTAAAACCAGAGACAAAACTTGATTTACAGGTTTATTCTTTTCTGTATTCTTCCAATTAGCGGAGAGACAAAATTGAGTGAGGGACAAAACAGGACAAAACCCAGCTTTTGCACATTGGCGAGATTTTCAAAAAAAAACAATCTTTGTTGAAACAGCTGTAGCTTTAATACTTCAATGAGCACTTGCCAAGGCAACATGAACACCAGATTTTTTAGAGACTTTTGGCAAAGGAGACCTTACCAAACCGTTGGGACGTCAGTTCTCTGCACAAGGTAATCAAGCGCTCCGAGTTTTTCAATATGCAATCAAATTTCCTGTGTTTCCTTCGAGAAGTCTGCGTCGTTTCAAGTTCGACTGCCGGTGACGTAATTGGCAATAGCAAATGATGCCTTCTGCTATCGCATCTTGTTTTACTCATCAGATTTGTTGATTCTGGTTCGTTTGAAGTTTAGTCTTCAATCTTTTCACCGCCGAAACGCTATCATCATATACAAAAACGTACTGCTCATCACGACGAATTGTTTGGGATCTTTCGCCCACTAAGAAACGAGCGGGACGCCGCGGGGCACGGGGTGTATCCTGATGGATCTTCAAAAAAGAGCTGCGAAACGTTGGTAGTTCAACATGTAAGTATATTTGATATGCTCAAAGTCCGCCCATCCGGACATTCTTATCATTCAAGGTTTGTTTCAATAAAGCGCCCCAAAACTGCGTTGTAAGAGTGAGCTTTAGGCAAATATGTTGTAAAAGTCAATCATATCTTGCACAGCCTTCTAATCGAGCTCCGAGTTGGGATCCCATATTGTGATCGTCCACTACTCGCCTGCTTTTCACGATCTAGAGTGCATGTAAAGCTTTCAATATTAATGATGAGTACTTTCGCCCTCCAGCTCAAAGTAGGTGGCGTTTATTCAACTCCGCTCGTACTTCCAGAAAGTTGTTGATCGGATATTCCGCTTCGTTGGTACCTAATCTGGTGATTATAGGGGGACAACACATTCTCGGTGAGGCTGACAATCTCCTTGATGATCGAGCCATAGCTAAGCTGTCAATTTATCTTCTGCTTCCAATGGATCATCCATTAGCTATTATCTCAAGTTGCCGACGCTGAGTCGATCAGTGAGATATGGAAGTTGTGCACAAAGGTGAACCAGATGTTTTTCTCCGTACACAAGAGCGCAACATTCTCATTTTTTTCGAATTTCCGGGACCGTACCGTAGGTTTCGGCACACTTAGAGCAGGGTGAGAGATTGGAAAACTTGTCATGGAGACTTTTCTATTTGCCATCAATCGACAAAAGCGCTGGGGTTAACAAGAGCTTCAAGGTGAACCGCACATTTGTCTCAATGTTATAGAAAATCATCCACAGTGTGAGAGTTGACCGATTCTAACATAAAGTGGTGTTACAGAGACTGAGCAAAGAAACGGGACAAAGGGTATCGTACCTGTTTGATTTAGCCTAGAGCTCCTAAAGCCCTGTGATATTAAGCCGTTTGGAGTCTGACTGGAGGCTTCTATCATCTCACCCAATGATAGCTTGATCAAGAAAGACATATCCGGCTCAGTCAGCTTAGTGCACCCCGTCTACGAACCAGTGCTCATCCTAAGCCAAAAACTACAGCTGTATCATCAACATTTCATCATCCCGCTGTGGTTTGTAGTTTGGCGTCCATTCCGGTTCAAGGATGGTCAGCCGATAGCTTCATTACTTGCAGCACCATCACTACTTCGAACCCGTTGAACACCGCACCCATGTCACCGTACGATTTGGATTTCAAAGCCGCATCATTCAACCTGGAATCGTTTTTGTCCAGCTTTTCTCCCTTGGCACTTTTGAGTGCTGTGAATCAATCTTCTCATCCAGAAGGGGGCCGTTTGCAAGAATCAGATTGTACTAATGAGTCCCAGACATTAACCTTCGAAACGGCAGACGCATACTCGAATGCCACAACTCCTTCAGATTTATATGCCACTGATGACTCGATGGAGCAACAAGCAACTGTCGAACCGCGGAATCTCAATCGAGACATAATACCGAGTGCTTTTCCATGGGAGGAGCCGTGTCATCAATCCGCTTTTCCGAAGTGGGAAAGCCCGCCGTTCTGTAACTTTCCCCGAGTGACATCCGCACCGTCTACATCCATGATAGAAATGGAAGGAAATGCAAGCAGCCTCCCATGCGGAGCGAACATGTCTGACCAGGCTTTCATATTCAAGAGTATGTGACCCTTCTCAATCTTAGAACGGGGATATTTCTTAATATTTTTGTTTTGGCCTTGAATTATCTCGAAATCTATACACTTCCTCATTTTCAAGATGACCTATCAGGTATTGGTTCTCAAATAAGTCCACCGTGTGACCCATTCACGATTTCTCGTCCCGAAAATCCGGCACCAGCATACCCAGTCTTATCAAGCTCTTGCGAGAACACTTTCATCTCATCAGACCACAGGTCTAGTCATAGAAGAAAACGACGGAACCCGATGGCCACTCGTCCTCCAACTTTCACTGGGCGGTCAGAAATGGCCGATGGTATAGGCTCAGATGGAAGTGCAGAGAGCCCTACATGTTCAAACTGCAGGGGTACCCAGACTCCTCTATGGCGAAGAGGTCCAGATGACGAGCTATTGTGTAATGCGTAAGCTCACCGCCTACACTGGAAAGTCTGTTGATCTTGATAACCCGTCCCTACACTCATCTATCCCCGTCTACCCCTCTATCACAAATTCATTTTTATTCGGTAGATGTGGCGTGTTCTATAAGGTGCACAAAAAGCATCGTCCGCATAACCTTGCAAAGGTCAAGAATACATTTCGAGGAAAATTCGGCTCAAGAAGACATCCGAGGGACACACAACCAATCAAGTGTACCAATTGCAATGCCACAGCGACACCCATGTGGCGTAAAGCACCGGATGGAGCACTTCTATGCAACGCATGCGCGCTCTAGTATGTCACGTTTCTCAATTTTGCAAGAAGTGTCTAAGTTGACATGGGTATAGCTAAATACTCACGTTTTCCTCATCTATCAGCTTCAAGTGCCACAAGAGACCAAGACCAATGCCCCCTCAGGATGCGAGTACTATATCCACAGCGTCGGTGATGGCCCAATCCCTTACAGCTGGGATAGGTTTACCTTACCCAACGCTCTGTAGTCCAACGGATCTGCAATGCAATTTCTCAAGCTTCAGGGATATCTATGACCGTAATAGAGCCAACGGGGGGATGAGCACCAGCCCATTAGATCAACTCAGCTACCTACCCCTATTTTGATCCGATTATCCGTTGCTCTATAGCTTTCTATTCCTTGAACTTTTTGTCATGCCTTCTGATTATCCAAATCCATTTTCAATCACTACACCACCCGATACAACTCTGACGCCGAAATCTCAAGTTTTGTTTGAATACCATACATACAAGAAAGGTATTTCTGATCTGTGGTCATCATGTATTTGATGATATCCTTTTGCTCCCTATTTTCAACCCCAGGATATGATGGTGTACCATCTGGAATACCAGGAAGATATAGATGATATATGGAAAATTGGGAAAACAAACTGATAACTGAAGACAGAACCATACGGATAAAACTAAGGAGACTGTCCAGCTCCCAGATCAATCATAAACTTTCTTTTTGTTCTCTAAACTTTTAGAAAGAAATGTTTATGCTATCAGAAATCTTTGCGTTATGTACAATTCAAATTTGCACACCAAAGGATTCTATGAACCCCTAACCCGTTGAACCCAGATCAAGCAAGCCAAGTTACTTTTCGCGGCCGATCAATCCGGTTCATGAAATTTGGAAGCGCGAATGCTACGCGTTGCGATACATTCCATAACTCAATGTACGATGAGGTGAAAGTGAAGTAGCAGAAGGAAATTGCCCGCCTCCAATTGGTATGAAGACAAATTTGAAAATTCATACCATTGTACAAAGGGCATAGATGATTTGAATGACAAGTTTAGAGCTAGATTAGAGCATTTATCAAAAAATGTTCATGCAATCTCTGTGGATAAACAGTAATTGAAAGGCGCGAAAGGAAGCCATTTATATACAACCAAAACCATTTCCAACAAGGCCCAAATTTCGAGCCAACGACATCCATGGTGTCACACATGCCACCAAATCCACACGCCCATCCAGGTCCATCTCTGCAAGTCTCCATCTTTCAAGCTTCTCATATTTTCTTGGATCATTAGCATGTATGTATCTCTTTGCCTGTAAATTTTGGACTTGTTGAGTAGATTTTGTTTAAACCCAGCCCAGGTTTGGGCTGTCCCATCACTTGAATTCTATCTATACACCAAGAAGCTTATGAAGACCATCTTTTCTGTGGCATAGAACATAGTGCACAAAGGCTAAGGAAATTTGTGTCCATTTCAAAGATTACTGACATATGTCTTGGTGCACACTAAAACGGCCAGGTACTCAATATCACGCCAGTCAACATCATCTCACCCACCCTTGATATTGTTGATCCTCACCACCTCATAAATATTTTTCAAAATTCCTAGAACCATATGGAAAGGTGTACTTATTGAATCAGGATTCTAGGTGAGTACGGAGTGGAAGCCCAAAGGAGAGAGATCAAGTATTTGTACCATGAAGAAAATTTCTCTAATACCCGCTCAATGAGACCAAAGCTGCCTGCACCCTGTAAAGTAAATCCAGCAAGCCTCAAGATTTTTAGTGTAAATTTGAGTTCAAAACAGCTTGATACCCAATTTGTGTACTCAATGAGTCTTAAGCTGAAAGCTCACTTCCCTGCAGAAGAAGCTGCATGTGGTGCAATTATTCAAGGTGGACCTGCGTATAAATATCTTCACGTGACCGGAATTATTTCCCTGATAGAATTATGAGCAGAAATAACTGCAGAGCTCTGGGTTGATCACAGGTTTTGTGGCCAGATCATTAGTGATAAGAACCTTTTTTTACATACACTGGTGTTTCACGGTCATATTTATTTCCAAGGCCGTTGAAATAGACACTTCATCTCCATTCTAACCTGGGAAGCACGGAGGATAGCTGAATCTAGCTTAACACAAGCCCCCCCAAACCTCCGGAGCCTGCGGAGGGGGGGCTTGCGCCTTATACACGAGTTCTCGCGTGATACCCTTTGTAGTTTGGCTGGGACTAACTTCATCCTTCCATATCACTGTTTTACACAATTCAAGTGTTTGAAGTAACATGATGAAATTGTAGATCTTTGTCTTCCTGATCTTTTGTTCTATTCAGATTCTTCTTAATCGCTTCGGAGCTCAAAATTGTAAAGGAGCTCTTGTTTGAGAGTTTCAAATTTCAATTTCTGAGCTTGCTGCGACTACAGGTGATCATACATATACTTGATTCTTTTGAGTGTCTAAAAGGTTTTGGACAAGAGAATAGTTTCAACCGTCAGCGCAGTTGTTTGATCAAGCAAGATTAATGTTACAGTCTTCAGTTCTCCACTGAAGACTACAAATACAAATAAACACATCTGGATTTTGGAAAGGAAGAAGTACAAGATGCAGCGGAACAACTTGGCTGATTCAGAAATGTTTGTTGTCTAGTGGTGAGTTGAGTAGCTTAGATGGAGTCGAAAACGGCCAAAAAACACAAATTTCAAAAAGGGTACCAGGCAAGGAGACGTGTATAAGTCGTAAGTCCCTCCTCCGCAAGCTCCGGGGGACGCGCGCGGTTTGAGGTGGGAAGCACGGAGGATAGCTGAATAGGCATTCCTCATCTTATGATCAGCAATGAGAGAAGAACTTCCCTGGACTCGAAAAATATTGTAAAGAGCCAAGCGGATCGGGTACGAAGTATTTTGGGGGACCACTCGCACCCGGTCCTCGTCACTAAATTCTTGCCCGTGGATTTTGGATGGCACGGTGAGTGACGTAACGATTTCTCCCTTGTCGGTTCACATTTTTCTTTTGTCTACAATAGATGGTCACCACGCCGATCATGTCGACTCTTGCATCCGGGGAACATCGATCTGCAACGTCCCATGCGCTAGACGTTTATGTTAAGTTGGCTTCAATCCCCGTCGTCACGGCTGCATCAGTTTGCGTGACTGATTCTTCTCTTAGTAAGTGCCAGACTTTGGAGCAATGTGACTATCTGCAAGTAAGTTGATCGATTGAACCTCCCTACCAGAAATCGAGGTGGACTATTCAATTAGGGACCATGTTAGACTGCTAAAGCGGCGCTGTTCTCAAGCATTTCACATCGCAAAAACTTCCTCATCGGATTCGTCGCGTTTGGGGTCATTCCCTGGCCCCTCAGTACTTCGCGGGCCGCTATCAGAAGTCCCATCGGAGGTCGTCTGGAAAGGCTATTCCCCCAGTGGTCGAAAGCAAATCGTTTTCAGGAAATGTGGTTCAGCCAATTTCATCGAGCTATGGGACACTACCATCAATGAGCTCAAATTCTGCAAAGAAGTAACTGAGGCACATGGAAAGTTTATAACAAACGACACATTTGGTTTTCCAACTTGGGATTCTCAAGAAGCTTGCATCGCATATGTCGCCGAAACCAAAACTCCCACTAAATCCGCTAATTCTTCTGTTGCACATAAACATCGATACGTACCTGACTTTGGGGAGCAGCTTGACGGTATTCGCCTTCCGGCACTCTTTCTACTACCATGCGAAGGCAGCGTTTCATCAGATACTCGACAATCTGATAGAGCGCTCATTCAGGTCACAAATCCCTCATCTGCGTCCGATGTGGTATATGGCCAACCAGTATTTGGACCAGGATCTTCTTCGAATCTTGATTACTTTCAAATATTTTGCACCGGCTTTGCATCGCTCCCTGACGGCCGACGAATGGGCTTGATCTATTGTCAAAACCGCTTGACTGCAATCTACGAACTCAAGATACAACTCAAAGAAGCGGAAAAGCCATCTGAATCCTCAACAACCTCCGTTCCGGCCAGTGTAGCCTCTCGCAGGCTTTCCTCTTTGGATGTTTCAGCTCGCTCGCCTAGAGTTTCAGGCAATCACGTTTATTACATAAGTAATCCAGTCGGTGGCGCTCACGGTTCATGTGCGGCACTTCATTATGTATCTATCCCGACAATGGAAGACAAAGTATTGGTCCCCGCTGTAGAAGATGCCGGTACTGAAAATCTGGACTCTCTCGAGAACAGTTTCCCAGGTTTATATATAGATCAGCTACCTTTACAACCTTTTCTGTCACATCCAACCACTGGGAAACAATTTTTAGTGACTAACTCTATATGGGGATCCGTAAGAGTTTTATTGATGATTGATCTTAGTTCAGGAGAAGTACAAAGATACAAAGGTCCCAGCCCAGGAAGTTGCACGGTCTGGAACACGGACAGGGCAAATTGCCTTATCGCTTCCTTTAGTCAAACTACCCAGCCTCCGGTAATATGGCTGGGCATGCTCGCACAGGATGGAACTATGACTTGGGATACGGTTGAAAAATTACAAGCAAATACGACGAGTAAGTTTGATACCGTTCGGTTTTCGATTGAACATAGTCTGAGCTCTATTAAATTCTAGTCGAGCAACAGCTTCTCCAGACATCTAGCCAGGTATTTGCGCTCCCGCCAAACATACATGGCCCTACAGAAATCGTGTATACCATGGCGAAGTCCCCCAGTACACTACAGCCTGCAGGAACTCTTGAAGGCCGTTTGCCGGTAGTGATTATTCAACCCCACGGCGGACCTCACTCCACCTCTGTCAACGAGTTCTCTCCCACAACGGCTGCATTGTGAGCTTTGTGAAACTACAGGAAGGCTTTGATTGGTTGACCTGACCCGAGTTTTTGTTATAACCACTATCTCAACTCGCTTTACAAAAAAGCGCTTTGTTAGGATATTCGACGGCCTACATCAATTATCCAGGATCGCTAGGTGCGCAAATAATCCTACTCGATGACCTGAGCTATTTCACGTCGCAACACTCACACGGGTTTGTGAGACCTTTCTGGTTGATTCATAGGATTTGGACAAAAGTGGGTAAATCATCTTATCAACCATCTTGGTGTGGCAGACGTCGAGAGCAGCAAATTGGCTTTAGACTATCTACGAGCGCAGAAGATGGTAGATCCGAATCAGGCAATCATTAGTGGTGGTTCTCATGGTGGTTTTATCACTGCTCATCTTACCTCGCGTTATCCAGACCTATTTACGGCTGCCTGTATGAGAAATCCAGTGGTTGACCTAGTGGGAACGGCAGCTGGCGGAAGCGACATTCCTGATTGGTGAGATATTCTTAGAACCGCACGGGAAGACTTTCAACGTGCCCAAGAAGCCTAACGAGTTATGTTACCATCTTTGATCCGATGATCTTCTCGCGCGGATCAACAGGTCTTTTGCGGAGGCTAATTTGCCTTTCCCAATGATGGGAGAATCTTTTGCGCCAGTCATGATCAACGACGAAGCTTTCAAAGTGCTCAAATCCGCTTCTCCGATCTCGCAACTACATCAAGTCAAAACTCCTACACTATTACTACTTGGTGATGTTGATCGTAGAGTTAGTCATCAGCAAGGAATAGCGTAAGTCTTTTTGAACCCCGTTTCAATTTCGCTCCTAATTGATCATATCACATCCATTGGTATAGTTGGTATCATGGTTTACAGGCGCAAGGCACACCATCCAAAATTTACATGTTTCCAGAGAACTCGCATCCCTTAAGCGGAGCGGAGGCTGAATTAGCAAGTTTCGAGGCAAGTTTTGAGCATTTTTCAAGCTAGTGAGGCGCTAGTTCTAGGTCAATTGTAAAAGAACACTAGATATTGTATAAGGTGTAATTCTATAAGCAAACAGTATTCGTAGATCATGTTTGCCAGAAACGCAATGAATCTTTGAACGTTCTATGATGATCCTTCATCAAGTAGTGCAAGCATCTATGGGCTTAAAAAGAGATGGAGCCCCAAGAGCTAAGCTTTTACCCTCTTCATTACTATATACTACAGCATTGATAGCTGCCTAGCGTGTGGTAAAGCTGTTTCATCAATTCACAAAGCTCCACGTGTACCTTTTACGCTGATAACAAATGCTTTTCCCTCGCCCGTGGGATTGGCCATGAATCCATGTTCACTAGCAGCGATAAAAGTGCCCTCCAGTTGCTGAGAGGAATGATTTAAACCGCTCTCTGGGGAGCAGCCAAATTGAAATTGACCATCGAGTGTTTTAGTCTTGTGTTGAATATCTTCGGAGAAGACCGCAAACTACGTTGAAAAGAAAGAAGCTTCAATGAGTATCTTTAATGATTTTGAAGACTTGGTCTAAGTCAACGAACTTGAACCCATGAACCATTTGAGACGTGGTCTGTTCGGTCTATTCCGAGGGCTCCACGAGATGGTGCACCGCCAACAATCCTACAGATTTCCAACAAGTGCTCTGATTGAGAAATCGCCGAATCGGAGTCCTGAAAGTGATGTGATCAAAACATGAGATTTATCACACTTGTACCTCTCAGACAATTCTTCTTTTAGAACGGTCTTACCTTTGAGGGATCGGCGGAAAAAAATGCGGCAAAAATGTCGTCTTCTTTTCCGATGGGTAAGTTACTACCGGAGGTATATTCAGAATCTTGTTTGATGGACGCCATTAGGGCCTGAGCAGCATTTTCCTTGTTAAGCATCAAGATAATGTTACCACGAGCACTGCACAAAGTCGTTTTATGAGAAATTTTGAGAGTGTATGATTGCACTTGCACATATGAGATTAGATCAACTCACGAAGTTACCTCCATAGGTCTTCCTAACGCGCGTAGACCAGAATATTGTACTTTTGGAAGCCTTGTTGAAAGACCGTTAGATGAATCTACCACTGCTACACCTACTGCACCATCATCACCGATCCATCCATCACGAAATAGCGTACATGGTCGACCGGTTTCAAATGGTGTAGAAGCTGCGATAAGTCCAAGGAGAGAAGCTGAAGGGAATCTCGTCTTTAATCCTTCTAGAAAGGGTTGTGGAGCGCTTGCAGTAAAAAAGACGATTGATGTGACGTCATCTGGGCTGTCGGTATTTGCATACATTCATATCCAAAACGGATTAGTATCTAAGCAGCGATGATCTCTTGAGATACAGAGAAGAGTAGGATACGTTTCTTGAAGTGATAACAAAAAATATCGATGATTAGGGAAAGGAGGTTGTCCTACGGAATTGATTGCAGCTCAGCAGGTATCTCCTCTTGCAAGTCACGTCGGGACCATAGTCCATCCCACTTTGACTGTTGATCCTTAAATGAGGACGAATCCTGATGATCGAGATCTAAAGCTAAATCAAGTCTTTCATCTTCTTTTGAATCTTTCAGATTAGGTAAGATCTCCCGACCGACAGAGATGGGTGATCGAGAGAACCCAGTTGATTTGAAGGAGATCGCTTTAAGACCATGAGAGCCTTCTCCACCACACCATTTGGCAAGCGCTACACTATGTAGCTTGCCCTGTGGCTCTAAAACTTCCTGTTCTGAGCGTAAGGAATCGGATAAACAACCGATAGGTTCGTAGCTCGTTTGAAGGCTTTGAAATATCGTCACTAGTTCCGATAACTCCGATGAGGGAAGATGCTTTGAGATGGTGAATAAGAGTGGTGGACGTCGAGAAGTAGGAGTAGACTTCGGTAACAAGAGTGCTTGTCGAACATTTTCGAGCAAGTCTTTTGGTGAATGGGAAACAAAGGTTTGATTGATCCAATAGGCTCGCTGCTGGTGGGTAGAAAATCGAAGACTCCTTGATCGAATTGACTGACGAGCTTCATGAATGACCGTGGTGAACATCCCGTGCTGAAGTGACCAAGGACAGAAATTGAATGCGGCGAGAGAACCTTAAGTACAGACATAAGCCTAAGGTGACATAAACTTATTTCACTCTTCGGCCTTCAACTTGGCATTCTCTTTCAACCTTTCCAACCCTGTCTCACCCACCTCACGATCAGATTTAACAATGAACAAGTTGAGTCCATTCCTTTTTCCTGTCCTTGAACTCATGGTCAAGAGTCTAACGTTACTCATTCAAACCTAGCATCCGAGCCACCAAGGCCATCAACGAGAAGGAACTTGCACTAGGAATCCAAGCTTCGTGGCATGACGATGTTCGCCCTCTGTGTTTTTCTCATTTTATTCTTCAAATGAAATAAGAAGCTTACAAAATGATTCGGAGTACATAGTACAAAGACAGTGCATACATTTATATCGGAGGTCTTGATACTGGTCTTACAGAGGGCGATGTGATTACGATTTTCTCACAGTATGGCGAGCCAGTGGATATCAACATGCCTAAAGCCAAACCAGAACAAACTAAAAACGAATCAGGTAACCCCGAAGAAGCAAAATCACAAGTGAAAACCAAAGCCGGACCTGTCAAATCGAGAGGATTTTGTTTCTTAATGTATGAAAATCAACTTTCAACCAATCTTGCAGTTGATAATTTAAATGGAGCAATAGTGCTTGGTAGAACATTAAGAGTAGACCATTGTAAAAATTATAAACAACTTGAACGTACAAATGAAGGTAAGATGACAGAAAGAGATGCCGATTTAGGTGAAAGATTGAATGCATTACCTGAATTACATATAACTCAAGATCAAGACGAAAACCAAAGTGATGAATCAAATGATATCGATCCAGAAGATCCAATGGCTAATTATTTACTTGAAGAAAGGAAAAAACGTAAAAAGAAAGAAAGTAAAAAGAAACATCGTGATCCGGATGAGAAAAGGGGAAGGAAGAAGTCCAAACGTGGTGATGATGAAGATGAAGATGATCGAAGAGCGCGTAAAGATGCAAAACGGATCAAGAAGTTACTCAAGGAAATCGGTCCATCTGATCGAGCTGGTGAATCAAGTACGCAATCCAGATATCTGTAAAGAGCCAACTCTTTGGATGTATAACACTTGTTCATTTATGCATTGCTTGACTGATAGATTCACGAAGTAAAGACGACAGAAGACGGAATCATGATGACGACCGAGATTCATATGATCGACGTAGATCATACTCACCGGCACCTCGTGATTCTCGTGATCGATATGATCGCAATGACTCACGGGATGATAGGCGCGATGACTTTCGAAGCTACAAACGTGAAACTGATTCACATCACGTTTCACGATCTACAAAAGATGATCGATACGAAAAAGAGTCTAGTCATAGATCTAAACCTTTCTACCGCGATGATGATGATTCATGCAGACGATAAGGTCCAACTGAATCAAAGCATCAGAAAACTCATCTCACTATCAATGGTTGAATGGAAAAACAAATATGTAAATCACGACTTCTTTTGGACACAGGTTGTACTACTTTAAAATCTCATATCACTATTTCTTGATGTATAGTCCATTTTACAAGTTATGAATGCAAGTCGTGTGGTTCAGATCAGTGAGTCTTGAGTCGAAATCTCTTCGAATTGACGGGTTTTCTGACAATTTGCAATGATGATTGGTGTGTTGTTTTAGAAAAATCAATCCGTTTACCTGATCTTTTATCCCAAATTGAACCCATGAAGAGTATCGTGAAACAAACTTTTTGCTTATCAAGCTCCCCTTTGGTTCCAGTTTTTGCATCGGATTCAATGGATGTGAAATTGAAGTTTTTTCGCAGTCTTGTGTTTAGTGTCTGTAAGTTTTTGATAAGAGGACAATTGAAGATCTAAGCTCTTGTGTTTTTGATCTTTACTGGTCTCAGAACTGCAATTCATATAATAGACTTTGTAATCAAGTAAATTGTCAGCCTCCAACTTTTTGTTTATATTCAAATCATACCTTTGCACAACATGATGATGTGTCCTGCTATAAGATCTTATGGGGGTTCTGGTGGCAAAAGTTTGGAAATCTGCGTATACCCATACTCTCTTTTTACAATCGATTTCTTTCTTCATTCAGAATGGACAATTTGTTGATGCAAAAATGGATTGATTGAGCCATTTGGGTCTGCAACTTGTTTTGCCAATCTTCAGTCAGTCAAGATAATAAGAATTCTATCTTATCTCGTATCTTGAACCCAAAATCTTTGTTGTTTTCCATGTTCAAGCAGGGGAGAGATGCCAAACAGTATGTAACTCGTTACTCAGCAGTGATATGTACCACATGTACAATACAGCTCTTTGTCCGGTAATTGATCGCATCCGTTGGCCGGTGACATTGGTGGTATGACTGTATGCGGTGATAGATAATCCCCTGAAGATGGGGTCAATCCTCAATTTCCCACATTCCATTATCAGTCAAGATACCATTTCCAATTCTAATCAAGAACCACCATCATTCAGACCTCTAATATGCCTGCGAAGCTTTCTCCATCCTCTTCAATGGATCTCAAGGATGAGATTCGGGTAGGTTCATCCTTAAATCTTCTGAATCTCTTGGATATCCTTAGAGTCGATTGATACTCAGCACAGAAAGAAGATCTGAATGAACAATGGGATCATCATTTACATTAGGCTACCCTCGCAGATCCTCATCTGGCACAGAATGGTTTCGAAACCTCAAAGGTGATTGCTCTGATTGCAGTGTTGTTGAAGGTGAATCACAGAAACATTGATTAAACCAGTTGTGCAACCCAACCGACGGTAAAAATCTCATCAGACCTCGTTGAGCTCAGTCGCAAAGGCCGTCCTCAACAATAGTATACTAACACCATGTGATCAATAATGATCTGGCATGTACTTGTACTCTTTCAGCAAACGCCAGATTCTACACAGTCTATAATTCCTTCAAGGAAAAAGCTAATACGAGCAATCAAGACGTGCTACCAGTAAGCATATATAACCTCAGTAATATGATTAAAGACAGAATCTTTGACTTCATGCACAATTCTATTGCTTTATGTAGATTCGTAATCAAGAACCAAAGTGGGGTAGAAGCCATCTGGTACATTGATATGAAGAAAACCGGCCGGGTGGGCAAAGGGAAAGCACCGATCAAGCCTGATGTGACCATTTGGTGTTCCGATCTAGATTTTGTAGCATTGGCAGCAGGTGAAGTCAGTCTTCTTCCGTTCATCAATGGCTCATGAACCTTGGCCCATATGCTTACGTGTGCACTGTTCTAGGCCAACCCTCAAAAACTCTACGCTGCTGAAAGGATAAAAGTAAGGGGTAATATGGACAGAGCGCTGAAAGTGGAACACGTTATTTCTCACGAACGTGAAAAAATCAAAATAGCTGGCGAGGTGAGTTATCCAAGTATTTTTTATCAATATAATTCTTCCTCTTGGTTGCCGCTCATTGAACACTTTCTTCAAGGCCATGAGTTCTTCATCAAAAGGAAATCCGATCATTCGAAGTAAGCTATGAGGGACGCAACACTAAATTTTGATGTTTGTAATCTGTTTTGACTTTTATTTCAGCAACGTCAATGTATCATTAGACAAGCACCAAAATTTAAGACAACTTGGTCAATCGACTTGTTTGTTTGAGAGTCTCTGATTGTTTGTACATTTAAATCTCTGTCTACTCTGCTTCACATTGAAAGATTCAAGCATTAACTGCTGGGAATCTTTATTTCTATTGTCTCTGCAAGAACTCTTACCATGTCAACATAGTTTGTCACATGCTATCTCAAAATCGTCTCTTTGTACTATAGAACGCTAAATCATGCAAAGCTTTCAAACACCAAAAAGCAGCCAAGAGGTTTTCTAAGAGCTCTTGTTCCAATCCCAAATTATACCCGATCACGTACAGGGAAGGATCATCAGACCCCACGCCGAGCTTTAGAATACGAGTGTCATTTTTTGAATTCCATGGGGAATTTTGAGGTTCGTGCTTTGTTCCTTGTGTACTTCTTTCGCTACGTGACTCAATATACGTCAGTAATGCACTCATAGATCACGCTTCAGCTCTCACTAGTCTCAAGATGATCTGACCGATGAAATCCACACTTTGCATGAAACGTGAAGCCTTGCCGCAGAACAACTTAAACGAAGATTGATGTGTAAGATATTTTGAAAATCTATCATCTTGATTTATTCGTGCATTCTTCAGCTCTCAAACAATGAATCAAAGGTGAAGGGGAGATAATCGCATTTAATGGAAAATCTCGAACAATAATGACTGTTATAAGAGTTACATCTCTGGGGCCCGGGGTGAGTCAATGATTGTGACATGTTTTTGGTTTTTGAAAAGACTATGAAGTTCACAATTCATTCGAATTTAGAGTTTGGATCACGGTCACCACGTGTTGAATGGGCTCAACATCAGTTCTGGGTCCCGTGATAATACCCGCAAATCCTTAATTTTTCTTTGAAACGATTGTGGTAGTATGAAAGGCATCATATATATGCAAATAAGATTGGAATGTCCGCCGATCATGTTTAATTCATGTAGGTACCTCACATCATGATTGAGGGAAATCTCAATATATATATTCATTGGGTTGTTTTATTTGAAATCCTAATTATCATACTAGTTGCAATATTCTGCAACCCCACCACTCCTTGCATACTCACCATTGAGCGTTCTCTTTCATGTATGGGCTGGGGATTTGTTTGTATGAAAAATGTCATCATTTGATACTTTAAATTTTGGGGAGTCCAGGCAAGAAACTCACTATTATGTTTGGGTTTGTATTTACAAGTGTTTCAAGAAACCAGTTAGCCGGTATTACAAAAATCCCCCTTGCAAAGTAATGGCCTTCGATGTTGGATTCTGATCTAAGATTTACGTCTGAACCAGTAGTGGATATTCTCTTGAGGCACTGGCTTCTATAGATGATATCGATGGTAGAAAACTTCATCCCCTTTGCGACCCAAGTATGCCAAGTTAGAATCCCAACGAACTTGAAAGACCGGATGAATGTGATCGTCTCTTCTCGTTCTTGTCTCGTGAGGTGTCTGCACACGCCTCTTGTTTTTCATCATCTTGACTGCTTTCTTTTTCAGACCCTATGATCCGATCCGGGGTACTAACCAATTTGAAACCCAAACGCAGCGACAAGCTGGGTCTAGACATCGGAAACAACTCTTCGTAGAAGGATGTAAACTTCAGATCTCTACGGATCATGATTATTGATTCCATCTCGCTTGGTTTGAAGCCCAGTAATTTGCATGATTGTCGATTAACCTCGCCTGGCCAACTTCTTGCACGATGTGTCACGCAGCACAGACAGTTGCGTATGTCATTGAGTCCCGTCACCAACAGCCAAGTGGAGTCCAGTCGGCCATTAGCCAGCTTTCTTACGTGGGGGTGCGGAGAAGAGACTACTCAGAGTCGCGGAAACTCCTGTAAAACTTCTCTGATGAGGTATCTGTAGCACCAAAATCTTCGACTTGATGAGAATTTTTTTTTCAGCTTTAGATCTGTATAAAAAGGCCAGTTCTTTTCTGGGGAGTGCAAAGATTTGATAGCCAGACGGATCAGTGCATATTCTATTCTACTCGTGTCTTTCCTAAGCTTCTTCAGCACGTCTCCAAGTTTTTGAAAATGGATCAGCAATTCCTCCTGTTGTCTCTTTTCTTTAGCATCATCGCAGTTATCCAAGTGAATTGTTATCATTCTGCTTTACGTTCAGAACTCCATATTAGTAAGCATTCTAGAAGAGCAGAGCTCCCGATTGGAAAGATAGTAGAAGCCTCAAACGCGGAGAGATCAGCAGCAAGAAGTACCACATTTCCCCGCACTGACATTCGCGGGCTCATCCCTACAACAGAACGGGAACCTTTGCCAAGATTAGAACAAGGAGACTCCATAGCGTTCAGGGGGCAAGGGCACCACAACTTGGTTCAACGGCCCAATGAAGAAGTGGAAGGAGCACATCATAATGCAGATCTAGATCATCACGATGACCATTCTGAAGATGAATCTGAGTATAATTCCGACGATAACTCGTTCATCTCTTTTTCGGATTGGAACGCTTTGTCTCAGAGTGATGGAGAGGACATCGAGGCAATGCCATTATACGACGATGGAGAGTCTGAGAGTTCGCCCAGCTCCGAGGTTATCGATGGCCCTATACCAGCATCTCATAAACGGCTAGGATGGTTGACTGATACTGGGGACTCTCATCGAGATAAACGACCAAGAACTCTTGAAGAGCGAAGATGAAATTCCCTTCACACCCTCATAGATAAGGCTCTGAATCTGTCAACTCGTCCGTTGTAACGTTTTGGGCAACACTGAACCAATTATTTGGTCTAGCGAGACGAATGATATTCCAGATAGTGTCAAATACCGGTCTGTTCCGTTGAAAACACTTTTGGTGGATGTGGTCGACTCTAGTCATGCACGATTTAGTTTCTACAGATCAAAAACCACATTTCAAACTTATGATTACACTATTCTTACGAAAAATAACTGAATTTTATCTCTGTACTTCATTTCACGATCTTCTGTGCTTCGTTTCATCATTTTTTTGGTTTTCAAAACAACATACCAAAATGTTATCAAAACTTATTGCCTCTGGTCATGGGCTCTTGGGATATGTACATGTTTTATGAACGTAAAAAATCAAAAGATATCTCTATAGATCATCATGTATCATAAAAAGATTTGCCTGTTTCTGAAGGATGTTAGGGAGCTGACCTTGCGAGACAAATATCGTTTGGATCTTAAACTCTCCACTTGAAATTGGTTCATCACGGCCCCGAAGGACAGAGAAAGCATTATGGGAAAAATACATTTTGAGCTTATATGCCGTGTTTTTGACAGCAAAGTTGAAAGACCTGATTTTGTAAAGAACAGTGATATGGATCATAAAGACACATCTAGACAAGGCCATCGGCAGATTTTAGAGCTGAGTTGAGTCCAAGCTTTCGATGTCACCTTCTTGGCCAGGTTCACGTCCCAAAATCACGTATTTCTTTGGTATCAGAAAAATGATAAAGTAGGGCAAATTTCTCTGGGTTTTAATACTTGAAGTCCTCTTTTAAAACTTTTTCTTTGTCCAAGAGGTCTCAGCAAGACCAATCTACGGGGTAAGGCGAGTCAAATCATATATCAGTTTCTCCTGTATGGAATTCGTCATTAGTGATCAAATTTGGATTATTTACTCGATAATTCTCTCTATCGTAAACTGAATAGAAACGTTCAAGACCTTTCATACCCACTAATGAGATAAATAAAAAGGCGTAAGAACGTGATACCGTTGACAAAAGTAGCCACGTTCAACTCACTGACGATGGTTGAGCCCTGCTCAACAGTTGAACCAATTGGGGTGATATATGAGTAACGATAGGTGGGGTCAGGAAGCATGTCCTCAGGAAGCAGCTGAGCTTCGGGAGTCAGACACCACGGCCGCTTATCGGCTGCTGTAAAGCACAAATCCTTCATCTTACTGACTGAAGTCTTTGGAATCTTGAGTACGTGCCGATTGACTGAACCAATAGGATTATTCTTTTGAAAGTCATCATAATCCCAAATTGAACCCGGAATGCCAGCAATATAATCCTGGAAGATGTCATTAGCCAAACATGGACCAAGTGCCCAGGCTGAAAAATTGAATGGATTCAACTGCTGAGCTTCAAAAACAATTGCCAATAGAATGTGACGTACCAGGATCGAGGGCAGCCATTAGTGGGGTTGGATACATTTTTTTGCCACCATAACTTATGGTCACTGTCCAATCCCACCCACTGAGAACAAATGTAGAGCAGAACACATAAATGAAACTTTTATCTCTAAGTTGGCCGCTCAACATTTGTGGGACATGCACAACGTACGTGTTTGATTTGCAACTGTACCAATACAACTTCCCAATAAATAAAGAAGGTTCGATGCCACCGAAAGTGATCATTCCATTTTGTTCTGGCTCGAGAGTACGAGTGGGTTTGAACGAGAGCTAGCAGTCCAAAGATATAAAAAAGATGAAGAAATGTAGAGTAAACGAAGAGAATTAGATATGATTGTTGTTTGTTTGTATACGCCAGAGACAGTCTGTTGACAAGTTGATCATGAAAGATGCCATCAAAATGACGCGTTCTTACCGAGAAGACATTCTGCTCGAGCAAGTTGCGATGCCACATGTAAGACATCGGTGTCCAATCAGATTCATTTTCTGGGTGGGCTGCTGTGTCGCCCACTCGGTTCAATGTAAACATTCCATCACATTTTCCAAAGCCCTGTGATACATTTCGACAGTGTCAATAATTTGATTAGACCTCATTCTCTGACATGAGGAAGCTATGGAAGGGACTAACAATGAAGGAGCCTGAGGAGACGTCTCCAACCATTATATTTGGAAGTACGATTTGATCGGTCCCTGAACCTAAGCTGATAGTGTCATTAACCCATTTTCCGGATGCGTTCCCATACATATGATCGATTTGGAAAGGTCGGTTCAGATCCACCGTTGATCGGGTGGGGACATAAGGCATTTCAGCACCAATCAAGGTGTTCGATATACCAAGCGCAATTGCCAAGCGATGCACATTGGGTGGATCGCCCACACCAACATCGATACCATGAAGGTTGATCGTATTGACGAGCGGCAGTGAAAATTTTGATGGTGTTCCAATCACTCCGCTTGCTAAGCAACAAGCTAAAAGACATATCATCCCTCCCGGACTGATAGACAGCATATCGTAAGAAATCAACAGGCAGATTTTGAAGCAGAGTCAAAAAAAATTGTAAATCGCAGAAGCTTTTGACAAAGAGCGCGAGGAGTTTTGCCGCCACCATCAAAAACAAATACGACTCCGCTGCATTCAAGATGTGGTCCTCGGTATCGTCCATCCGGCCGCTATCGTACGTGATCCTCTCATGAGAACGCTCATCATGTTGACACTTGACGCAGCTTGACGCCTACATACATACCTCGCAGTTGATCCAAATTGATCCAAATTCTATCGTTTTCGTCCAAACTTACTCATTGCTATGATCCGGCCTTCGTGACCCAAATTCCCCGCAGTTTCCCCATGATATGCAGCGCCTTGAATCTGTTTTGACCAATTTCATTTTATGAGAGTCCAAGAAACTCCAAAGTATAGCAAGCAATCACGCATTGAAAAGGTTTCACAGTTATGTCTCCCGCTCGGGATTGACTATGGTCAATACATCAACGGCCTTTATTTCAGGGTATGGTTTGCTGTTTTGCAAGAAAACGATATGAAATCTTGCGAAAAGATGCCGCAGTTGAACTCTCAAATTTATTTATTTCCACCAAGGTTCTTTCGAGATACAACTTTGGCTTGCTCAAGCTGAGGCTTCGATTCTTCAGTATCAAATCACTTGAAAACATACATGTTGTGAAACTTTTCTCAAACCTTTTCAATAAATGCGAGCACAGTTTTCTCAGTCTTCTACCTTTGATGGAGAAACGTTTTGATAGGTGACAAGGCTTGAGATTTATTGTTTGCAGTCAGTTCCCTCTCCAGTTCTGATTTCTAACTTCTATGGAGATATGCTGACGACTTGAATTTATGGGTTTCGATGACTGGGAGTCGGGACCGGTCAACGGGGCCTTTGAGCAAGATGGGTTTACATACTATGCATGAGTCAGCGACTTAGTTAGGTTAGGTGCATCACACCGCGGGAATCAACTCGTTTGAAACCGGATTGAGCTTAATTTCGGTGTCCGGGTTTGAAATTTCCTCGAATCGTGAATTGTTTTCACAACTCGTTTGCATTATGTTTGCCGATTCCCCTCGGGCTGTACTCTGTACTCGGCTGGCCCCGTGGATGTACAGTCACATCATACAGCAACATCCCCTTTCACCATTCCTCACCTTCATCCTCATTCTTCAGGCCTCAATCAACCGAAAAAAAGCAGTTCAGCGGGAACATCAAGAGCGGTGAGATATGTAGTCCAACGGTTGGAATCACAGGTTTTGCAAGTGCCCTGTATGTTAGGGTACTCGAGGGAAATCGGCAAACATAATGCAAACGAGTTGTGAACGAGATTCACAATTCGAGGAAATTTCAAACCCGGACACCGAAATTCCTCTCAATCGGGTTTCAAACAAGTTGATTCCCGCAGTGTCACTACATTGTAATTTGTGATGTAGTGATTACATGTTGCGTTTGTATGTAACGTTTAGTGACTGTTTACTTTAGCTGTTTCTTTTTCCTGTTGACCATCTTTTTCTTTTCCTTTTCCTATTGACCATCATTCATCAACATTCATCTTTAACATTGGCTCCTGCTTCTTTCAACATCCTCTTGGATATCTTCTGATGTCTCACCCGAATAACAACTCGTCAGCTCCCGTTGGTGTCACTACCAATACCTCCTCATCGGCAGCCTCTTCTCACGCGTAAGTTAATTCCACTAGTGTTCTGGGTACTCATTGACGATTTATAGGAACTGAACACTGACGTATGTACTCTATCTCTCTCATTGAATGGTACTCAAAGTCCTACTAGGATGCGGAATCCAATGGTCGAACAGGTCGTTTCATCATCATTGCCAATCACTGTCCCACAATCGCTGTTGATATCCGCCAATCCTATGGCGAGTCTTCAAATATTCGCAGAAGCAGAGCGTGCCAAGACTCGTGGACAGACCTCTAGCCAGAGGGTATCATGGACTTCTGCCTGGAGTCGGTTCCCAACTTCCTCTTTGGCTCAATCAGCGCAAGTCCATGCTACAGCAAACCACACAAATGATCGAAAGCGACCACGACCTCCGACAGCTGAATTCGAAACCGATGCCCTGGTTTCGGTTGGATCGTCAACATCACAGGCTGCAAGACTTCCTCTCCGAAAGCGCCGAAAAAATATGCCCAACCGCAATCCCTTCTATCCTTCCTACCTCCAGTCTCCAACGCCTTCAATTTTATCTCTTTCCTCAACAGTCTCAACTGGAGATACCACCGACTCCGACGTACATGATCTCACGGAGGATGAAGATAGAGATGAGAACAATGAATATCTAGTACCAGCGTACCCTTGTCTGCCTCCAACTCCTCTGACCCCCCACGATGTCTTACAGTCCACGACGTTATCTCGAATGTTTTCACGTGCCAATCGAACATTCCATCAAATTGCGAATAGTGCAACAGGCCTAGTCGAAGCAGATCAGAGTACTTGCAATCGCATGGGCGAGCTGGTTGAAGTTTTGAGAGGTGATCTGGGTGGAAGGCGATGGTTTGAAGTGGTCGAGCGCGCTTTTTTGTCACCGACATCGAAGGAGGTCTTATCGAATTCTACTCGGAATGGCAAGAGCACCGCATCATCAATAGCACAAAAACCGCCGCAGAATGACTCTGTTGCCAACGCAGGCAAGGAAACTTCCTCTAATGCACTTCCTGGACGTCGTCGAATACAATCCATGGAGCAGCCTGGACTGGACGCTCGGTCTCATAGGGTCTTCGGCGGCTCAAGTGATGCAACAAATCATCTTGAGAGCGGATCAGATTCCCTCAACGAGTCTCATCGTTTGATGCTCGATCCACGATACCAAATTCTGACCCAAGCACCAGGTTTCATCCAGTCATTGTTTGTTTCTTCTGATCCAGTCACCGTACCTATGATGTATCGCCCTCCAAATGATGTAAGGGGACTCCACGCGAGCCAGCAGACCCAACCTAGCGAACTCAACACCTCGCAGAAGATTAACGGTGCATCTACAGGATCGAATACCAAAAGCCATCCTGCCAGTGTCGCGTCTGGGAACGGCTCGTTGGAAAACCTTTCAATTCAGCAACAGATTGATTCTTACCATGATTGTACAATCGAAATTTCGAAATTCCTCGGTGATTTAACCGATTATCGTGACAGGCTCTTGGAGGTCAGAGATGGTTGTTTGAGCGTGGATAAACGTAGAAGGGCTTTGTGGGCGATTGTGAAAGTGTGTGCAAATGGCTATGACGAGATATGTAACGGCCAGAACTCAAATACCAAGACCGAATCGAGCGCTGTCGCAGCTTCGACAATGGAATCAAAGCAAGAACCTAATGGTACTGTTCACACAGGTCAATCTACTGCACCTTCCCGAACAAATGGTCACACTGAAACGCCATCTTTACGCGGAAAGAGCCGAGCCAGATGATGTCAAAATTGTACTCTTACACGGTTTTCTTCTTACGCGATCAATCATCACAAGGCACTCTTATTTTTCCCGCTTGTGAGGCAGACATTTCTTCTATCGCTTCTGATATGTGTAAATGATCGGAAGATGGACATAGGATTCAATTAGTTCGTTTCACATACACTGTATTTTGCTTGTTTCCCCCCCCAACGATCGATTGCATTCTCTTTTTTCGTTTCTTTTCTTGGAATGATAGGAGGGAAGCAACAAAGAAATCTTGTTGTGTGATGACTCGGTCTGCATTTTTCTGATTATCTAGTTTTGTTTTAGTTTGTCGTATTTTTTCTTCTGCTCAGGTATTTATATAAAGTGTGTAAGCTACAATATGTTTTGATTTTCCCAACTCTGAGCATCCATTTTGCAAGTTCTTTTTTTCTGATGTTTGAGATTACTATTTATATTGTAAGGATGAAAACATACTAGATATAAAGTATTTTTTATCATTTTCTCTGAAGTTTTCTGTGTTGCTCGTGGATGTACCAGATACATAGCCCTCTTTTTTCCGGAGATCGCGGCCTGAGGTCCCTGAGTCTCAGCTCCCGGCGGCTGGGACGGGGACTCCGTTCACGGCTGAACGCATGATACAATAGGTCAAGACCGTCTTACACTGACCATTGCCATGCACCAAACATCTTGTGTGGAATGAACTCCCACATTTCATCCAAACAAACAAAGAATCTACGAATGTTCTTGTTGTTAGTTTATGAGTGAAACAAACACTGATCAAAAGATTTGGACAATCTGAGAGAAACAAAGATTGAGACAAAAATATTTATGAGTTTGATGAAGAGAAAAAGGAAACAATAATTATGCTTGAGAATCTTTTATGAGAACACAAAAACATGATGTCATACCAAATTTCAAACAATTACATGATGTAAGCAAAAGAACATAAGTGCATGATAGAAGAGAGATGCTACACGTTGTGATATTCATATCTCAATTCCCCCCATCTTTGTTACATCATGTCATCCCATCAAAGAAGAAAAAATTCATGTTTTATGGGTGATAAAGCGGTGAAGATCTCTGCTCTGATATCATCAGTTGAAACACAAGTCACCTTGAGTTTTTTGCTTGCTGCTAATTTCCACAACCAATGATATTTAACATCTACATGCTTAGTTCCTGACTTAAATTTTTCATTTTCCAAAAGTGCAACTGCCTTCTGATTATCCAGATTCAACATTGGTGCACCTTCTCAAGCAATATCTAGATCATTCAACAAGTGAGGAAATCATACTAAATCCTTACCCCTTTTGTACACAGCTCTATATTCCACTTTTGTGCTTGATGTTGCTACATTTTCCTGTTTCTTTCTTTTACAATTTACCGCACCATCTCCTAACATTAGCGGTACACAAATATGAAAACCCAACCTAAAAACCCACGGACAAAATCAACTGTAAACCTTCATCTCCCGCACAAGCTTTCAATTGTAAACCTTTACCTCCCAACTTGATTTGGTGTTGAAGAAGGAATGGGTGGAGTGTTTGGTGGTGTTGATGATGGAATGAAAGGCAAAATTACCAACATTGTGCAAGAAGATCAACAGTGGGAAACTTTTTCTTAGCACAAGCCCCTGACACAACATTCTCAACTCCAGGAAAACAATTCACATCAAATGTAACATCATGTGAATAAACTGGATTTAATTTTCCAGCATCAAGACAAATGTAATAATTCATCATAAAAATTTATAATATAACAAAATAACTTCCATTGAGGTATCATCAAATTTATTGCCAAGTTTCTTAGGTATCAAGACATGCACAACATCCAAATGGCTTCAATCTTGAGTAATCAAATTCTTGACTAAACCAAAGTTCATAAGGCGTTTTATATTGATTTTTGTCATTGCAGTTACCTTTCCTGAAGAGACTGCCTTGGTAACAGCCCCACCCCAAAACAACTTTGGAAGATGATAATGCTTAAGGATTGTTCTTGCCTTTTTTGCTGTGGTTCAATGGCCATGTTCAGAAATTGGGTTGTGTGTGGAGTATACAGAGCACTCAAATAGGAAGTTTTACCATTTTCTTCCACAAGTTCTTTAAATTCACTTCAGAGATACTTGCCACCTTGATCATTCATTACACTTACAATTCTGTGACCATGGGGCATCTCAACTCCAGACTTGAATTTGGTAAGGCATGAAAGATTTTCTGCTTTTGATTTCATGATGTGCACATATTTGTAATTAGTAAAAAAAATAAGTAAGCTCAAAATAGTACAATCCACCACCTTCATATTCAACTGAGATCCTGCCACTGAGATCACTATGGATGGCTTGAAGAGCAAAAGTATACTTTGGAAGAGAATTGGAACATGGAAGGCCATGCCCCTCAGACAGAGCACAATCTTCACCAAGCCAACCATCCAGAAATTTTACAATATACATCAGTTGCAGTTGATGAGAGTTTGTATGACCTGAACTTCTATGTAATAAATCATAACAAGCAACAGTGAACTTGTTGCAAATGAGAGAATTTGATGTGTCTATGTCAATACCAAGCTTAATTACTCTATTTCTAATATCACCACAGAAACAAGCAAAAGCTTCCTTGGTTAGAAATATGGTGCCTTTCTCACAATATAACACATAGCCATCTTGAAGGAAGCAACCCATACTGATCAAAGAATTACCCCAACTAAGAATGTGATGGGCCAACAAGCTGATATTTCCACCAGCAGAATTACAGATGATATCTCCTTTACTCAAAATATGAATGTAAATTCCACCAGCCAAAGAGACATCAGGAACATATTTTTTGAAGAGATTGATGGCTGAAACCATGTGGTCAGAACACATGCTGTCAAGGAGGATAAGATTGTTGTCAGAAGATGGGTGACCAGATTAAGCACTGGTTTCAATAACATTGTTCAATTCTGCCGCTGGAAGCACTGCAGTTGTGGCTCTACTGCAAGTTACAGGAGTGGTGCAATCAATAGGTCATAAGTGAGGAAAGGCTTGATAACAAGCTTCAGGTTTATGAACAGCAACAGAGGGATTTGTTACATTCTTGTTAACCTGTCATAACAGGTTAAAAATACATTCAGAATATGAATTATGAATCTCTTCAAATAACCTCAAATCTTGAGTTGTCCTTCAGTCAAGATTGTATATCAAGTTCTTGATCAGTTTTATTTCCATCACAAATAACCAGGTAAAGTACAATAGAATCTGCAACCACCACATAGGTTAAGATTAGGTTAATAACCGTTATACACATGCTATAAATGCAAAATTTAATCCAACTGTGATAAACGAAAGAAGGAAATTATACTACAACATGATAACATGAGAAAATGAAATTTATTACATCATGCTATTGACCAGTTGGGTTTGGTAAAATCTAACAGGATAATGGCATCTGCCAAAGCAAGGGTAAGGATAGTGGTGTCCTTGTCCAGGTGGGTGTGCAGGTCAACTAGTCATGGTGGATAACACAATGGTTTTGTCACATTGATTCTTCTTGTTGAATTTGACAAGATAGGCGTCAAGATCAGTTAACACATCTTTAGATTTCAAAGGATGCTTAGTTGCAAGCAGAGAAATGGTGGTCTCCATTGAATTGGGAAGTTTTGCCACAATGGTCTCAGATACAAGCTCTTGTGGTGAAGGTGATGCCACAGGCTTGAATGAAATCTAGAGCAGGCCTGGTGACCTTGATGTGTTGATCAAGAGAGACAAAAAACAGATGAAGCTGTTATCTGCTCAACCTTTGCTATCCAAAGTTGCCGAGTGAAACTGTTCGTTCATCAGTTTCCATATTTCCAACAGATTTCAAGAAAACCTTTGGACTCAACTCTGATGTAATATTGCCAAGTCATGCTGTCAGGGTGGCAACTTATGGAGGAAGTAAAAAGTACTAAGCTTACTTCTGGAGTCCTGAAAACAGATCCTTCTGGGTATGTAGGACTGCTGAACCAGTGAAATGCACCTGTAATGGTTTCAAGTTCTTTCTGGTGAGATGATCTCAGTATTTCCTTTTGATCATCCTTTTAAAACTAAGAGTATGCTTAACATGGCCTGCTGTATGCCTACGGTTGGGAGTTGGTCTAGTTCTAAGGTGTTTTGAGAACTAGTAGTTCTTCAAATGCTTGCGTAACTTAACAGGGATCTGGTGATTCTTTGCAACACTAGAACAATGGGGATTAAACAGAGTGGTTCTACTAAACCAAGGGTTAGTAGAGGAAGCCCTGCAGTCAAAGTAGCCTTATATGGCTTTCTTTTGCAGGGGCTTCTTCAAAATACAGTAGATTTCATAAAGGTTGAAATCAAGGTTTTTTGAAAATCTAGAGGTGGCCCGTGCGCCACCTGTGACAGGTCTCAAATATGCATACCAGATCAATGAACATACAGTACCAAGACTTTCAACAACCCCAACCCTTCAATTGTTTGGTGGCGCAGTGGTCAAGAACCGTGATTGGGTGGTGCAACTTTGATGGGACTCCCGTGTTTGACTCATTGCCCTTATCTTTTTTACCACCGTTTTTTTGCCTAGAATCAAGGATGAAATGGCAATAAGGAAATGCAAGCAATCAAAACCAGCATAGCTTTCCCATTCTTTTAGTTTATGACAACAAGCAAAGCAAATATGAAAAACTTGTCAAAAGTTGTGATGACATAAAAGAAAGCCACTCGGGCTTGAACTCAAAAATGTGCGTCTTATGAGGGTGTGCATACCCATGTAGAGGGCATTCATCCAACTGTGCCAGAGGTTCTTTTCAGTTATTGTGTCTATGCTGTCTATGTAAGCATTTTGGTATGCATATTTGAGACCTGTCACAGGTGGTGCACGGGCCACCTCTTGATTTTCAAAAAACCTTGATTTCAACCTTTATGAAATTGACTGTACATGTTCACATTTTCCGACCTAAGATCTCTATCTGTTCCAGAGAGAAGATATGTGGACTTTCCTTGCCTGCATATGTACACTATTTCCCCCCAAGGAAGTTGATACCCTCTTGCCTAAAATTGGGCAATGTATTGGGTGCTTGTGATAAATTACATATGTGATGTCCTTCCTGCATACAAACTTACCTTCAAGACCCAATCTTTGAGACAGTTTCTAGGCAAGAGCACTGCAAGGACAGTTGCCTTGGAGGCAGACATCCAAGGAGTCCTTGGATAGTGGCCGCAAGTAAAAGGGCACCCAAGAGGGGCCTTCAAGAAAAATTTGAGCCCTTGCCATGGTCTTGGCTTGGTTTCTTGAATGCATCTTTTCTTGGAGAGAAGATCCAAGGACTCCTTGGATTTTGGCTTCTGAGCCAAAGATGCTGGCAAAGGAAGGAATTATCTTCCTCATGACAAAAATATTGCAAAATCTGTGCAAGAGGTCAGTTCACACTTTTTGATTTTGGTCCAGATAGGAATCTGTAGTAAGGCATCATCTAGATGGAATGCTAAAATTCCTCCTGCACACACCTTGACTCTGAGGAATGGGTTTGTTTGAGTTTGGCACAAGTCCCTTGCTGTGCATTGGAATGTACAGCAAGCAGCAAGGGACTTTGATAAGTTACCCAAGGTGGTGGCAGTAAATTTATGGAACTCTCAGAGTTGAATCTAGGAATATCAGATTTTGAGTGGCTAGAACTCCCTGAGGTGCAACTGTTGTATGAGTCTTTACTTTCTCATATGCATTCAACACAAAAACCAAAAAGCTGGAGAAATAGAAGCCAAAATTTTGAGTCACTTTGAGTACCAGCAACAAACTCCTTGTGGCTTGTTTTGAGCCCCATCCCCAATATCTGGATGGATATCTGTCCCCAGTGGAATGGGAGCATAGCAGGTTGAGAATTGACAGTGGAGGTACAAAACCGACTTCTTTAACCTGTGACTAACTTAAACCTGTGAAAGACTTTGTGATTGTGCAAAATTCAGTACACACTAATATTAGTCAACATCCCCACAGGTGTGAATGGCTTGGCCTTTGCCTCACCCTCACAATTATGGGGATTGTCTGCAGTTCAAGTCCACAGGGTGAGAGACAGAATGGGGTTCGAAATAAAGAATTGGCAGCAAATAATGAGGGCAAGGTTCTAGAGAGTTGCGAAGATGCCAGGGAGGAGACCTAATTAAGGCTAAAGCTTGCTTAATATTACTCAGCCTTTTACATATCACCTTGTGGCAGTCTAGTGTTTGAATGCCAGGTGAGGATGTCTTAGCCTCCAAGACAACTACTATGAGGGAAGTGAAGACCCTACAGTGGGTCAAGCCAAGAATGTGTAACAAACCTGCCTGCAAAAGTGGCTGGGTCCAAAATTATTGAGGTTTTTATTTGGAGAAAAGAATCTTTTTAGCACCCATTTTTTGGTAGTTTTTGGCCTTCCTGGGGCCAAAATCAAGATTCAACCGCAGTATATAGTCATTTAAGAAAACCTTGCAACAAATTCCCGCCAATTCACTTGTAAGGTTTCTTAAATTGACTGTAAGTATCAGCCTCAGTCCCTACACTGCCAACAAAGATGCCTCGGAGTGCTAGGTCCAGAAGTTTGATGCCTGCTTTTCTTGGAAATATAATATTCAACATGTGCTTCACATATTTGGATCAAGCTCAATAAGCCCATTTCAGCTGTCTAAAGTATCATGGGTAAACATTAAAGTTCAGTTGTACACAATTCAGTCAACAAGTGAAGTTTTGGTTTTGCAGATGGGATTGTTACACATTCTTGGATTTACCCACTCTGATGCATTGTTTATAACAAACCAAACTGAGGTGACTGCAACTACACCAGATTGTCTCGATCTTTGAGCTGATCTTGAGCTGAATATGCACCACAACCTCATTAGGGACCTGAATGCTGCATCCATAATTGCAAGTTGCTGTAGGTGAGTAGGGTACCAACCCATCAGCAAAACAAAAGACAGTCCCTTGCTACCTATTGACCGGGGGCAAACGTATCGAAGATAGCTCGAGAGTTAAGGAAGGACCTGCTCGTCAAGGAACCTCGGATTCCATCGAAGAATCGTCGATACTCTCGAGTACCCAGTCCGGCGTGATCATGTGTCTCATTAGTCGGTCGCTGTTAGGTGCATCGTTGGTCTCGACTGTTCCGCCCCTCACATCATTCTTGTTCAGTCCTTGCTTTCACTTCTCTCACAAATCTTATCTGCTGAGCAGTTACTTACCCCGTTGACGAGCTTCCGCTGGATCATCACAAATTCCTGACCTCATATGCCGTTGAACGAGTCTTTCACCACTTACTGAATTCGAAACTTCGATCAGGACTTTAAAATCCAACTTTTTACAGGCTTCCGCCCAATCTGGCGACTCGTTGAACAGTGCGTAGAGTCCTTCAAGCAAGATGATTTGTTCATCAGGTTGGATCACTATCCCACCCTCGACGGGATCTTTAAGCGTGTGCGAGAAGGACGGCGCTTCAAGTGCCGTGTTAGTGGGTTGGACGAGCTGGGCTACGAAGGCTGCATAACCTTTGGCGTCGAAAGTTTCAGGGGACCCTCTTCGCCGATGAGCTTCAATCGGATCCTAAATATTTATTTATGATCAGAGGTTTTATGGGGACTTTGCAAGTCAAGTTCCAGGTGAAAGTCGGTCAACGTACCTCAAACCCGTCTAGTATCGCCCGACTGGTAGAAGAATACCCAATCAGCACAGATCGAATATTGAAGTCCTTTTGTCTATGACTTGTTTAAGCTCACGAAAAATGCCTAGACAACGCATAAGGAATATAAGGTTATCCAATCAGCAGTTCAATCTTCTCTAACCTTGTAACAGCTTACCAACCATCCAGACTTATAGCCTTAGCCGAAGAGCCCGTAGATCCATTACAGCGAACCACTTCTTCATTTATTCTTCTTGTCAATCTATCCGCAACAGTCGTCTTCCCTGAACCCGCTCTGCCAGTGATTCCAACTAAATATCGAATACTCTCACTGGTTTCGACATAGCTCAAACACCATAAGTTCATATTTAAAGTCCGGTTCCCTGGTCTGGCTCACTCACCACCCTGGCACAGTCTTCTTTTTAGCAGCAGCTTCAATGATCTTGTTAGCCAGTTGGTCAATTTGATTCTCCATCGGTCAGAGAGTTTGGAAGATCGTAATGCTGAGAAAGTCGGGCTGTTAGGGTGTCACTAAAAATCAATTCAAAACAGAATCCGACGTTTCTCGCTTATGTGATTAGACCCGAGAGCAGGTCGGGGCGCTGTTCCTTGTGTTTTGTGCTGTGCGGCGCAGGAACATGTATACGAATAAATAAGTGACAGACGTCAACGGAAGAGGATATGCATGTAAGTCAAAGCATCTTGAATTGCAATACCTGCTGAGCCACACCAGAAGATGAGCGCGCAAGAATTGTAATGACTATAACTATGCAGTGGCATGAACGAGCTCATGCCTCCCCTATTGGCAATATGTAGTCTCTCTAGACCATGTCCGATCTTTTTTGACTTCATCTTCAGAAAAAAATTGATACATTTTCTTACAAGGGTTTAAGAGGCTGAAATTTTCACCATCCCCCAAATGTGCAAAAGGCCACAATCTTCTGTTAACTATTTAGCCAACCAAGCCCACGATCGAAATAAGAAAAACACAACTAAATTTAGGCATTCATATATTCCATGACTATCAATCTTCCACAATATATTAAAACTTATAATGAATTAAAAAACAAAACAAAACAAAACAAAACAAACTAAACAGGAGATATGTTAGTGAGAAGAGAGAAAATGAAAGATCAGCTTTGGAGGTCAAACGCATCATAAATTCAATGTATCAGCTTATGAAACCTTCAGCTGTACGTCACTCCCAGAGTCCAAGGATAGTGTGAAAAGCAAAAAAAGAAAATGGCTTTGGAAATAAAAGCATAAAAAGTGAAAAGAGGTGCGTGTTAAGTGAAAATGGAGAGAATAGTGAATGCCACAAAATTTATTCCTCCAATATATGAATGAATCAAAATTCTCGAACAGTGATACTACATATCTTGCCATTATTCCAAGGATATGTAGAGAAATGTTGAAGCTTAATTTCCTTCGGTGACAGAGCCACCAACCGGAGCTGAATAGAAACCACCAACCAGTACAAGATAACTGCCAAATCCAAAAAGAAGAGAAACACAAAAGTTTAAAGTTTGTTCACCTATACTAAAAGACACGCTTGTGAGCAATGGGACTGATGACAGACCTGAGCACTAGAATCGTTCCTCTATGATAATTAGCACGAGCTTCAATGTACGTGTAAGTCAAAAGGAAGACTGAAAAGACAATCGAGATAACATCCCATCTAGGAAATACCAATCTGCGCATAAATAAATCAAAAGATGTCAGAGAAGACCACGCGCCAAAGAAACTATGGCGAGCAGACTCACGTGAAGGTGTGATGAGCAGATATGTATTTGCCCGAGTTATATATTGCAGATATAGCGATCATAGCAGGGATTTGGATCAAACACACTTGCAGAGCATACGCAGAACCGATCTCCATACTGATGATACAAAAAAAGTGATCAAGTCGATATTGCTATTAGTTTATCCTGATAAGACGGGCGACCTCTTTATTCATATCACCAAAAAGAATCTTACCTGAGTGCAATATTCCCATTCATGGCAAACGAAATGGCATTCATGAATTCGGTAGTGTTGGGCACCAACGCAAACAATGTCACGCCCAGCAGCTTTTCGGGGATTCCCGAACCATCCAAGACCACGTCCACTACGCTTACTAAGATCTCAGCAATCACTGCATACAGTAACGTACAGCTCAGTAAGACTGTTGTACTCTTATTTCGACTCCAGTTAGGCGCATCATGACCACTCCCGCCGCCAGGCTCTATCCCAGATGCGACGTTCACATCTATCTGATGATGCTGCGGTTGTTGAGAATTTGGATGACTCCGAGACGCATCCCGGCTATGCGAAGAATACTGATGTTTGAGCATGTGGGCTGGGGTAGTAGAGAGGTGCCTGGCGGTAGCCATCTCTAAGACCTTGATGGTACGATCGACGTCTTCGGCCGTAAGTGTACGCTCAAGACTCAATGAATTGTCACCGGCTCCCGTCTTGAGATTATGAGGTGAATGAACAAATCCTGAACCACTGGCACGGTGGTCGGATTGGACGGTGTTGGTCGCGGGGGTCTTTTGTATATGGGGGAGAAGCTGCTGTTTTACCATCTCGGGAAGTTTTCGTACATACATAGACATTCGCTGTTGATTGGTACTCCCGCTCATATCTTGCTCATGGTGATTTGGCGCTAGCATTTGGTTACCATGGTCGGCTGTGTGAGGAGCAGCAGCAGGAGTTTGCCATATTTGTGAGGCGTGAGTTCGCAGCGAAAACCATAGGCCGATCAAATAAGACTATAAATAGCAATATCGTTATTCTTTTAGAAAGCAATCTAAAGTTGATGAAAAGAATCGATACGATGAAGAAAATGACATACAAGCACGAGAAGAGCGGCACAATAGTAAGATAAGCCTTTGACAGACGTCTGATAAAATTCATCATTGACCGGGCTCAAGTGTTCGTATCGACAACTTTGACATTTCCACAAAGCCTCTGTATTGATCTCTCCAGGCTTGGTGGATACGCCGTCCGGACAGCCTGAACAAGTCAGTTGAAACTAAAAGTTTGAAGAAGATATGAGTACACGATGATAAATTGCACGAACTTTAGCAGAAAGTGTAAGACAATAACTCAACTGTGCCATAAATCTCGTAAAATAGTGTGGGAGTCAAAACCCCGATGATAGCCATGATCAGCATTGTTGAAGTCACACCAGCCGAGCGGGCATTGAATTTCTGTTCCTTCCTGCGTACTGACCCACCGATCATCGACATTCCGGGCATCAGTAGTACACCGGCCAGGACACTGCCTATGATGGATCCTTCGACTAGGTCTCCTTTGCCCTCCGTTAATGCAATACCATATAAAAGGATTTCGATGATCGAACCAAAGGTGGCGTTGATTACAGCGCCCATTCCAATGGATGACTGAGCGGAAATCGAAGCAACAGCCATGCCAATGAAGTATGATAACGGCACAACACTTAGTAAGGCCATAACAAAGATCACGGCCTGACTGGAGATCACGCCAAGGAATCCAGTTAAATGCAGGGGTACCAAAAAGAAAGCATCAAAGATGACAAAAATAACGAATGGCATCAAGATGATGAAGATGATGTTGACTCCATCCACAGTGTACTTGTAATACTGGATTCCCAGTGCTTTGTACGTGCACAATAACACCTTGGCCTTTCCGCTGACTAACCTGCCTTTTGCTCGACTAGCTGACAGGGACTTCTTAGAATGCTTCGGTGCAGGTTGACCAGGTTTCAATCGAGGGAGACTACCAAATTCACCCAGGCCAGAATCGCTTTGGGCTTCAGCACGTTGACTAGATGATACCTCCCTACTACCCCCAAGACCCGCTTTTCCAGACTCAATCTGATTGAGATCGATGAAGGTAGGCGGTGAACGGAAATGAAGCGCCAGAGGTTCTGTGCCCACATGACGGACAAGCACCCATAATAACTTGGCCATGGGAATGGGAAATACGAAGAACCAACATAGAACGCAGGAGGCCAACATCATCGGAGCAATGATCAGGTAGTAGACGGTCCAGAAAGATAATCGACCCAGTGCCCGTACCCTGATTGGATGATATTTCTGGCCTGCCTGTCGACGAGACATATCCTTTGAAGCCGCGTCACCAAGTATAGCAGTCACATCGGTTGAGGTAGAAGAAGACGAGACATGTTGATTAGATAGCCTGGGTCTAGTCCCGTGAGTGGCCCCGTAATTGGGTGGAAGATTTAATCGATCAGGTCCAGCCTCTGCTGCTGTTAAAGATGTGCGTTCATGAGCATCGCCGCGTATGGTGAGCCGGTCAACAGATTCATTGTCGTTGTCGTCGTCGCCAATGTCAGATACTGCCTCCCATCGGGACGAGTGGACATCAAGTGTGTTGGCGGCTTCCTCTTGTTGTGTCCCTTCTTCCCCCTCCTCACCTTCTTCTTCTTCAGACCATTCTTCGACATATTTTCCGAATGGCCAGATAAGATAGCCAGCGAGCTCCCATACTACTCGACCGTATTTGCTTCCACCCCAGGGTATCACGAACAATACGGCCGCTACCAGGGAAAAAACAAATGCTAGAGGGGAACCAAATAATAAGGCCCATAAAATGTTGCCAGGTGTGAGAGTTGAAACACTAGTTGACGTGGGAGAATCATGAAGTGCAGCTTCCGCATTACGAGCCACAGATCTTGACTTCTTATAGAGTGCTGGTTTCCAGATTGGCAATCCGAAAGGATGTTCAATATTGATTGCCTGGTCAAATAAACAAATATATACAATTAGCTAGACTGGGATCAACGTTGGACGAGGCAAATGTTTGCAGCTCACGTCTTGTCGGTCTTTGAGTGTATACTCTACATCTTCATCGTTCAGGTCAGATGACGCATTGTCACTACTCGCGTTTTCAGCTTCAGCTGGTAGGTTGCCATCGGCCTCTCCTTGTGGGGATTGGCCCTCCTCGGAAGATGATGCTTCGGGAACATAGACAGATGCATGGCGCGCAGTTGACTTGGGCCGACTGGGAGAGTCGAGCTGAAGGTTTGTATGCTGAGAGATAACAGGGCTACGCATAGATTGCCCTGGAAGTGCGCGGGAGCGTCCACGCGCAATTGGGGTTTGCAAGTCAAAGTACTCCTGTGCATCTTCCCCTTCCTCATAAACTTCGTCGTCTTCACTTTCTTCGATTGCATCGGACATAGTGACACCCCCACGCTGCCCAAAAGATATTAACGATGATCGAGAAGATTTGCCAAGCAGAGATGGAATATTTTTGGACGTAGGAGAAGAAGACATCCGTACGGCATGTTCGGAAGACTTTAAGCTGCCAGATGTGAATTGACTAGGTGATCCAAAGGACTGATATGTAGATTGAACTGTGTCAGGCGAGCGGCCTCTTGAGGAAGAACTGATGCCTTGTTGCCGATCCAGATCCACGACGTGAGGCACGCGGCTGGAAGCAGAAGCAGTGTCATACTGGCTGGCTGATCTTGAAAATTGTTCACTCCTTGGGATCGGAATGTCGTGGACCATATGTGCCGATGGCGAACCGGGGGGGTCATTTGAGTGACTGACCGAGTCAGAGAAAGCAGGAGGGTGGGATGCTTGGGAATGGTGAGGATGAGCAGGAGCGGTACGAGTACGAGAGGCAGTCGGACGCGAATGAGAGGTTCGGGAACGCGTGGTTTCATCTTCAACGCGACGCTGACGCCGCTCAGCTTCCTTCTTGAGCCGCTGACGCTCCTTCATACGACGCCGGACCAATGCCTCGCCACGATCAATAGGCTCAACCCCGTCGTCTTCTACATCATCAACAGAGACCCTGTTGGCTATGGAATGGGATTGAGGTGGTTGGGCAAGGTTAGAACTTGGTGGAAGCAGGTGGAAGGATGTGGTCACAGGAGAGATGCCGTGAGGATCCGATGGATTATTCACGGAGGTCGGCCTGGAGGGAGGTACGAAGTTTGTCTCTTCATCTGAGCCAACTTCAGATGTTACGTTTTGTTCTCTTCGAGCGCGTGTGGATTGGAGAACCGAAGGCGGAGTAGTACCAATGAGATTGGGGGGCTGTTTAGAGAGTGATGCCCTAGCTTTGCCTTTCTGAGTACCGCTGATATGAGAGGCAGGAGTGGTGACAAGATTGGTGTTGATGTTGGGGAGTTCCGGATGGGAGGATTCACGACTCCTGTCCCGATGGAGTGAGCTATCTGGTTTGGAAATCTTAGGTCCCTTGGGCGTTGGCGGTTCGAGATCTGAGAGCAACTGAGGTTTGATATGAGACTCAGACGTTGGTAATGGAGTGGTTGAACGATGATCAGATGTAGTTGTTGTGATATCTGACTCAATGTTGGCGGATTCCTTTGAGTTGGGCATAGTCTGGGCGATTTGTTAGAAAAGAAGAAAGGAAGAAAGAAGTTGAGAATGACGATGAAGGCAATGAAGGATAATCAAAGCTTGAGAATTGTGTGACTTGAGTGTGAACAGATGCGTCATATCCGTAGACCGGTCCGTAATAGGCACATGCCACATATGATCATAGACTTACATATATGTACAATGTTACATATCGTATCAGATCGTATCATGTGACTCATGTGACTCGATCACACACTGCAGGCCTGGCCCTGCGCCCTGCGAGGCTGCGAGTGATCAAGTGTAAAATCGACCTTGACCGAAACTTGAAATCGAGTGACAACGAAATCCTTTGGTCCGACCAGGGCCGACTCTCTGCAAGGTATACTGGTCCTTTTTCTTCATCTTAAATTGTTTAGATAGTGCTCCATGCAATAAAGCCTTATGCACTTTAAAAAAACCGAGTCCCACGTAGCGCTTTCAGGCTGTACCAGCCCGCTCAAATATGACCTTTTATTTATTTATTCATTGCTTAGAATGCCTCCTGAGCCGTAGGCTATCAGGCACTATTAACTACTTGTGCTCCTCTCCAGTACAAACCCGAGTGGGGAAAAGGAAATGTGCTGGCTGTTTAACTATTGCAAGGGTTATTTTTTGAACATGTGGGGGTGTCAAAGGATGGTGTGTTAAAGTAAATAGAGTGAGGAATTTAATACAGAACCAAATGTGAAATCTATGAAGAGAAAGCTCCCAAGAGAACGCCTCTGACATGAATTGTCAGAACCTTATATTGGAAAATTGGATTTCCAAGGAGAGAAGGCGCAGATTGATATGCTCCAATGCCGCATGTAGACATAAGCAGCACAAGACAGCGGAAGTCCCAACTGCCGGCCAGCATGTGTGGGTATGGGCCCAAGGCTCAGAACACTTGTCCATGCCCCTGAGTGGTGCATTGATTTGAGCTACACACGTTCCCAGGCGCATAATTAGGGGGGGGAGCGGGCTTGGATGGAGGTCTCCAGCCAGGGTCCCATTTGGTTCACAAAAACCAAGCCCCAGGGCCGGAGCCCTTCACTACCCCAACCCGCGCCCTCTTGACAGACATTGAGAGGGCACATCATGAGGGGACTTGAGAATTCTCTCAATCAAAAGACATGAAATGCCTGTGAAAGCCAAATTAGTATATCTTGACATAGTCCAAATACTACTACCAGTCCACCCATAGCTTAGTCAAGCATGAAGAGAATGGAGGACTCAAGCCTTATGCAAGTTGAAGTTTCATTGCTTGGTACAGTTACAGGAAGAGTCATTTATTGGTAAATGTAATTCATCAGATCTTGTTTGTGCTACATTGAAACTGGTTGGTTCATCTTTGAGTTGTGAAAAGGATGAATAGGTTCTTCTTATTCAGAGACATCACTCACATAGACAAAAGTTGAGGGGCTTCTCAGGGCTCACGGCTCTGCACCCACGTGAGTTTGGGGGCTGGGAAGCCCACATCTCAGAGGGTTCAGAGGTAGAATACCAGGTTGCACTGCCAGCATTAAAGAGGTTCCCAGATGGGAATATGGGTTGTAGGGATCAGACCGCCTTTGTGATATATGTAGTCACAAAGGCTGTTTGCTTCCTACGACCCATATTCCCTTCTGGTAACCTCTTTAATGCTGGCAGTGTTGTTACAACCGCTGCACCCCTCTGGGGCCATCCCCACACCACAATTGTCAGCCCTGAGTACATATACATGTACCCAAAATTAACCTGTAACAGTAAAAACCCTATGTATAAAATCAATTACATGCTACATACTGAATATAAACTGTATGTAACATGTAATACAATGTACCAAAACCTTTATTACATATACATGAACCTGTAAAACAACATGTAATATGTAATAAATCACCATTTACACCTCATAACTCAGTGTCGAGAGTTAAATGCTTATATTACATATCACACATAACATGTATATGTAACTAAGCATCACTAGTAACAATCATTAATATATGTTAATGACTAACCCTGAACCAATGTAGTGATAATAACAAATATCACTACAGTTAGGTTTAGAGAGGAGAGTATATAAACCCCTCCTCTCTCAGCCTTCAGAGAAAACCCCCAAGCATTTATTACACACTACTTTTAAGAACAATTAAAGTTCTACTGAAGTAACAATCAAGAGTCTTATAAATATAAGACTAGTGATAACTTCATTACTTTAATCAGTTCCTTGATTAAAAGTAAGTAATACCTTCACCCTTTCTGGATCCTCTACTTTCCCCAAGTAGGAACTCTTTTAGGTTGGTGACCTTCCAACAACCCAAGGCTAGTGACCTACATATAATTACTTTCAGGCTGGTGACCTTAAGAACAACCATAAGTTGGTGACTTTAAGAACAACCAGTGTAGTGACCTTTATCTCACTCTTTAATCTGTTACTTAAAAAGGATTAAAGGAAGGACTTTTGGATCCATCCTTCAATAATTATAACATTCATTTATTATAATTATAAACCTCCTTTTCAGGAGTCACTTAACTGTAGTCTGTCTGGATTTATCCAAACAGACCAGCCCTGTTCCTTTTCCTCTTCCTTTTCTATATTTCTAGTTGTAATTACATTATATTTGAAATATAAATTTAATTATTAAAATCACTAAGACCCTTCTTAGCCCAATTAGTGAGCCTTGAGTCCTCATCTGAGCACCCAACCCTCACAACAATGAACAAACTCCTAAAACATAATTGTTCTAGGTCAATGCCTGCTGTGGTGGAGCAGCACTTAAAGAGCCATAAGTTCCTTAAGACCCAACAGTCTTTAAGAGAACTTAAATAGACCTTGTCCCGGTCTCAAAAACATCAAGTAAAAGAGATAAATGAATGTTGTTACTTTTTTTCTTCCATGATATTTTTTTACAATTTTTAAGCAACATTTTTTTCTTTTTATCTTACAACATACAGCCATTCCGATATTGCTTGTTGCACCCTTTTGAAAAGAAAAAGTTTGTGAGATTGAAACCTGAAGTTTGGCTGTATTGCCTTGAATTACAGCTGAGTTTGAAGTTTTATCAAGTAAAAACTTAGGTTTCAACTTTTTCTTTTGCAAAATGGAGCGACAAGCAATATCGGAATGGCTGTAATGAATGAATGATAAGATAAAAATGTCTTTTTTAATGAATGAATGAACCTTTTTTTGTTGCGGGTTTGGTTCATGAAAAAACTACGGCTTTTTTAAGGAATTTGTAGATGAGTTGATTGATTTTTGCTTTTTTTGCAAAAACAAAAACAGTGATTTCCCAAACATTTTGTGATGAAACTTCTGCTCAGTCTGACTAACTTGAGTGGAAAGTGTTCTCGTGTATGTACAACTATTGAGGCTGGCAAACCTTGACATGTGTTCTCTTTTGGCCTCTGTCTGATGGTGCCATCACTTTCTTTGTAGTTAGGAGAGCTGGCCACTGTTAATTTTGAGTACAGTCAACCAAAACATACAGCTAATTTGAAAAGCTCATCATCATTCCCCACAACTCTCCACAAACATGATGTTTCCAATGGACAAGAGGGGTGTTGATGGCTGATGACACCAGATGGTCTGCATGGCATACTTTCTCCACAATTATCCACAAAAATGATGTTTTTGGTGGACAAGAGCGGCAGTGATGTCCAATGAGCAAATGAGACCAGACAGTGGTCTTGACATACATCATTCTCCACAATTCTCCACATAAATGATGTTTTTGATGGACAAGAGGGGCAGAGATGCCCACTGGGCAAATGTGACCGGACAGCAGTCATGACATACCACCTTCTCCACAATTATCCATAAAGATGACACATTTAATGGAAAAAAGGTGTTGGAACCCAGTAGGCTGACGAGATTTGACAGAAATTGTGGTTAACATGATTAGTCTCACCAAATATTAGCTTATCATAGCCTTCTATGTGTGTCCACGTCCTAGAAACCACAGATACTCTTTGCTCAGTATACTTTGGAGGTTAGGGGTCAGAATTCACGGGAAATGAGGCCATGAAAATGGAAATTGATGGAGCCAATCAAGATCTTTCACTGTGATGGATACAGGGATGAATGATTCCTGGATAGTTGTACCTTCTAATGTTGAAAAAAACCTCACAACACTGTGTGCTGTAGTTGATAAAGACCATCTGCACCTTTGGAAGTTTGGATGGGTTGAAGATTCAATTTTAAACCAAATTGAAATTCTCCAGGCAAAATATTTTATCAACACCCTTTGATACCTTGAATTTGTATGTATGAGAATGTCTGACTCAAGCAAATTTTCTGAACAAACCATTGTTGGAAAGAACCGTAGAACTTCAAGAATTGAAGGTTTGACTACATGCATAGCCCCAAGGTGTTTCAATCAAAGATTTGAATGCCTATTTTACGCATATCTTTTGAGTGGGTGTAAGTCCCGCATGATGAAGCTGCATATCTCAGAGCTTGTAGGCTGGAACAAGCTTCAGTGATTTTGTCTGCATATTGCTACATCAAATTTGGCATTTGCATGTCAGTATCTCTGTAAAATCCTTCCCATTGCCTCATACTCAGACTCAGCGGATAAAGCCTCAGACCAAGAAGACACCAATCATCCAGCCCACTTTTCAGTTACAACCAACCCTGTGCCAGCAACACAGAACGGCGCAAAAAGGAAATTTCCGGCTGTGTTGCTCCGCAACACGTAGCATACAGTCCACAAATCAAGTTACATTGGTCCTAGCACCCCAGCATGAAATAGGCAGGACGAGCTGCGCACTGGATCACCCGTTGTGCAACACACCATGCGCAACAGTGCCAAAAAATCTCAAAAATCAATGGTTTTTTGGACTGCAACACAAAAAGTGCTGTTGTGGGCAGAAAAAAACCCCAATTCAAAAGAACTTGTTGCATGTCAGGGTTACCCACAACATTTATACAGCATTTGCGCAAAAGTGAGGCGTGTAAATTCCGCAATGTACCAGCAGCGCAGCGCGCAACAGCTGCGTTGCTGGCCCAGGGTTGTTAATACAACCAACTGGTATTGTCTATCTGTTGAGCTGAATAGGGCTCAGCAAGAGAAGCTGATTGCTGCAATAAATCCAGAGTAGCAATCCTCACCAATGAAGGGTGGGAATGGTGTTAAAGGAAATCTATGTGTCAACCCATAACCCCAAATTCTCCCTAACAATTGAAAAATTCAGAAATTTTGTTTGAGCTCTGGGCACAAGTTCTTTGCACAAGTTTCAAAATGCTACAATGCGGGGCGCATCTGTAAACAAACTTAATCATGACTTCTGTGATATTTGTTTCAAGGTGGGGACATTCATTCAATGTTTCTGATGTGTATAAAAGCTGAATGATTTACTCAACATCTACTTTTTATCCACATATTCCTTGACTGTTTCCTACATCTCACCACCCAGTGGTCTGCCCATTTCCTTATTACTACAGTATTTTGAATAATTTCAATGACTGATTAGGATCTACTTTGTATCTTATTCTGCAGGTAGATTGATCAAGACAAACCACACCCAAATACCTAAGACACACACAGCTCCTTTTCTGTACGTCACTTGACCTTGGAGCACTTCTATGGCTCCTAGAAAATCTTCCTCCAAACCCATATATGTTGACTAAATTGAATGTGACATCTAGGTCAAACACCATGAATGCTGTCGGACTCATTGGAACCATTTTGCTTATATGCAGCTCCTCAGCATTTGTTCAAGCCATGCCCACTGGAAGTGGTCTTGAATTTGTGTCTCTCAAACCGTCAATTGAAGGAGTGGATGAACAGCCTTTGATAAATCAAGTTGGATCTTCCTCATTTGCAAAACAACATCCACACAAAGGCCATTCAGGCCTTACTGGTGAGGATGATGATGATGATGATGGTTGCTTTTGGTGGAAAATGTTTACTTGCAACAACTGTTGTGGCACATGCTGAACTACACAGCTACAACTGTCAACCAAAAGCTGTGTTTTGAAAGAATGATCATATGCTGGATATGATGGGAGTATAGCATTTTTAAGTGATGCCTGGATACATTTTTTGTATGCCTGACTCAATTCAAATGAAAAGATTTGGGTATAAAGTTTGGGCATACTTTTAATGTCTTATGTTGCCTTTGGTTATGATCACCAAATTTCTTCTCATCTGTGTTGCTGTTGTCAATCTTCTGCTCCATGTATCTGGTTGCTGTAGCATTTTCTGTCTTCCAAAGCCGCCCACTATTCATTACCATTTTGACCAGTAATGCTTCTCCTTCTATGTTTCCTTGGTGGATATCAGTCATGTGGGCTGCATTCTGTAGAGGTCTGATTTGAGTCATGTTTTTTTGGAAAGTTGAAAATCACAAGTCCTTTTGATACAGATTTTGAAGATGCTATCTGCGCTAAAGAATCTGAGCACTCTGTGCAATAGATTGCTCTGTCAGACCAAAACTCTGTGGGTCTCAAAGATCATGTTAAAAATTGATTTGATTTATGGTAGAATCATACATCATGACATTCACAAAGCAAGGTGATGGAGGTGATAATAATTGTTGCCTAAATCATATCTAACAAGTAGGCTTAGAAATACACAAGTCCCCAATTTAACAGCCTGCATTTGGAACTTGGTAGATTGACCAAAAAGAAAATTGCAAGAAGTAAACTGCTATTGGGATTGAACCACCGCCTCAAAAGGACACCCCACAGGGATATAAGGCCGGTTTGCATGCAGGTGGGTTAGAAGGTGGCTGTGAGGAACTTCTGAAAGTCCTTCACCTAAATGATCTCGAGAGGGCTCGTAAACATGAGCGGAGGGAACAGGATACCACAAGGTGGTTCCGACTGATTCTAATGCCAATAAACATCATGTTTAAAAGCTGGCTCCAAAGGATATGAATCTAAAATCAGTCAAAGATTCCCTAAGGAGCCAATTGTGTGCGTGAAGAATTTGGAAAGATATAATATCTGTTTGGGTCTGAATATGTTTATAACTAGATTTATGTTTATAGGTTTTGTAATGGTGTTTTGACAACATTACAGTGGCCTGCGGACTGGCTATTGGACTATAGTCACCAACCGGCCACAGCAGACCAGTGGGATTTACTCACTGTTTGCCTGCAGGCTTCCTATAAATTATGGTCTGCAGGTAGAGGTTATACAGCCTGCAGGCTGTCATTTTGTTTTCACAGATTGTCAATCAAGGGTCAGGCAATTCAATTTTTCTTGTTGGGGGGTTGTTGATTGAGCAGGAGCAACAATACATTCATTGCTTGTATACCAAGAGGGGGGCTTTTGGTACATCAATAACTAGATTGTATTTCATTGTGGTACCAAGAATATTACCAACGATGCTAGACAATGATGAATGGATACAACAGGTGGAAAGATCTGGGAATAAATGAGTCATGGTCACTTCAAACCTCTTCAACCTGATAACTTAAATGGTGATTTGATCAATAAGATGATTGAATTGGCTGATCATTCCTTTGGGACAATAAGGAGTGATGGATCCAAGAACATTCTTCAGTGATAGGTAAAATAAAACAGTACTGATGGTTCTCACCTCTTTCACCTTTATTGATAGTAAGTCAATTGTTAATGAAATAAAATAATTGAGACTTGGTCAAGATGAGAAGTATCTAACAACTGAGCATAATTGAGCTCTAGAACAGCATCAAGTTTAGTAGCATTATCCACCATGTAAATATCCTTGTAGCACGTCAACGTGCACACACGAAAGACTTTCCTTAGACCCTGTAACAACCCATCAAAGAGGTGCCACAATAAGCACATCTTCCCCTTATCATCTGGGAGGTTGAAAGTCAGTTGACCCCTGCTGACAACAAAGGAGTCTGCAAATCCTTTGAACAAGTCACAAAGCACAAAGGGTGCTCAACAACAATCTCAGTCTAAATTCAACCAAAAGACTTGGAGTTTTATTTCAAAACTCTCCGTGTGTGCACGTCGACGTGCCACACAGATATTTACATGGTCATCAGTTTTGAGTAAGTCTTCATCATCAAAGACATTGACATCCTTCCCATCATAAACAAAGTCATGTCCCCCTCCGTCTTCAGTTGAATTTTCTGCTTCATTCCCTGTGTATAGTATACAAAACTCTCCCCTCCATGAATTTTAACATGATTAGAAATTTCTGAATGGTCAAGAGGTATGGTGGACTATGATTTTGGTGACAAGATAAATTCAGGAATTGAGATAAACTTCGGTTATGTTCGGCTGGTGCATTTTAATGCACCTTAAACCGATAATGTACATTAAAATTTTAATTTAATGCACATTAAAAAAATGTTGTTCGGCAGAGTTTTAATGCAGAATTTTAATCAGCTTAAACTGCCAATAATGTACCAAAACGTGATTTAAAAATAATCGACTCTACAGTCGATTATTTCGCTGAAAAGGTACATTATCCCCTTTTGATCCAGCTGGAAACTGGCCCCGACCTTTGTACTCCGCATCGTTCATCGGTCCTCCCTTAGGTAAAATCGTACTTCTCCTTTTTTTTCCAAATCTCAACCTTTGTACGACTTCACCCTTTCACCACTCGACCCTTCCCTTTCACCACTTTTCACCACTCACCTTTTGGATTCGGTTTTCAAACTCCTCAATCAATCACTCGAGATCAATCAATCACTCGAGATCAATGGGTCGACCAAAGTCTAGCTCACAGCCTGCAAAGCCTCAAGCTAAGTGGACCGAAGCCCAAACACACACCTTACTCAACTCCCTTCTAGACTTGAGTCATGACAACGATAGATCCAACAACAACTTTCCGCCAACTGTTTGGGGAAAAGCTGTCAAAGAGTTGAATGATACTCATGAAATTGACCGTGACATCACTCAAGAAAAGAATCACTATGGTACAGTAAGCATTTTCACTTCGGTCTATTTCATCACTCAGATTCATATTGTCACTTCTTTTGATTTCATGTCAAATGAACTCGAACCTGTACATCAGCTGATTTTGTGTTTTCATCCTTCTATACAGCTCAAGCGACATTATGGTTTGATGCGCGAGCTTAAAGAAGGATCAGGTTTGGGCTGGAGTGTAGAAAAAGACACTGTTGATGGAGATGAAGAATTCTGGGCCGGTTGGGTTGCTGTAGGTCATCTCAACTTGATCTGTTCTCTGATTCATTTATATTTACACTATAATGTATTGCAGGGACACAAAGGATCGCATATCTTCAAAGATCATGGATTCGATTTCTACAAGGCCATGGATCTTCTTCTAGGTTCAACTCCGCTTTCTGGTGCAAATCGAACAGGCACCAGTACCCAGAATCGAAAACAAAAGTATTCACTAACTGCCTCAGAGGAGGTGCTTGACAACAGCAATGACGACGAAGAGCCTATTGATCGAGGTGATAAAGGAAAAAAGAAAGTAGTTGAATTGGCGGGTAAGTGCATTTCCTTTCAGTTTACCATTGAAATGTTCTTTCTTGTTCACCTATTCTGTTATTTCAATACAGGTGACTCATCTGATGCAGACGATACACTCCCACCACCACCACCACCACCACTTCCACCCAGGCCTGCCAATCCTCCCATACTGTCGAACTCGTCAGCTAGAGCAAAGACAGCTCCTTCGGCTGCAAAAAAGCCTTTCACTTCGGATGCTACCATCCCCAAACCCACCAACACATCCTCTTCCAAGCCGAGTGGATCTTATAAGCCTCCAGTGAACTTGGCAAGCTCACTCAAGCTAGTCACTGAAAATTCGACCCTCAAGACTCAAGCTTTAATTGAAAAAGAAAATCGAAAGGATGCCCGAGCTGATGCCCGCGCTGATGCACTTGTCGAAGCAGCTCGAATCAAGAGAGAAGCTCTCCACCCTCCACCTCCTCAACGATATCAACCTCAGGCTATGGCTCGCTTCAAAGAACACAGTCAAGAGAAATTCCCAGCTGTCTCCGATCGTATGGCTGCAGCTAAGATCTTAAGAAACGAAGAAAATGCCGAATTCTTTTTAGAATTAGAAGATGATCTTTGTTTTGCATATTTGCAAGAGACAATTGATGAAGAGAAGAAGAAAGATCAAAATCAATGAGATCGATCAAAATCAAATTTATCATTACAAATTTATCATTACAAATTTATCATTACAAAATACTATTTTGCTTAAATGCTATTGTATTTAAACTACTATTGTTCTTATGCTATTCTACATTGTTAAAGTTATTGTAGATTCTCAAAGTTGTGATTTTTCTTATCCCTTGTCCTAGTTTGAAATAAATATGTTATTCAGTGCATAATGGTTTGAGTTTGCCTAAATGCGATGTGGATGTAATTGATAATCATCCCACATTTCCTGAGCTAAGACATCACGGTCTTCAGTAGCATTAGCCCGCTCCGCAGCTGTTGGTGCACGGTAAGCCACTATTCGAGCTTCATCCCAAGTAAGTTGTCTTGCCCTTTCTTGTTGATCATACTCATCAAAGAAATTATCCTCGCCACATTGTCGGATTATATTGTGAAGGACTGCTAGGGCAACAACCAGCGAAGCCTGTCTTTCAACAGGGAATCTTTGCATATGTACCAGAGTATTGAAGCGAATCTTCCATACTCCAAAGAGCCGTTCAATTACGTTACGCAGACTCGAATGTCGTAAGTTGAAGAGCTCTTTGTAGTCTCGAGGGCGGCGTCCACCAATACTCCATTGCTTTAGATGATAACGGGTGGCTCGGTAAGGCGCTAAAAAGCCTACTTGGTTGGTGAATCCAGCATCTGCGAGGTAATATCGACCTGAAGAATTGATCATTAGAAACTATCTGAAACTTTCTAATGATCAATCACGGATTACATATGCTTACCTGGTGGTACAAGGAAGCGGCCATCCCTTCGTGCTACCTCTAGAACACGGCTATCGTGTGCTCGTCCTTCAAATCCAGCAAGGATGAAAGAGAAATTTCCTTCGAAATCACAGGCAGCGAGGACATTTTGACTGAATGTGCCTTTGTGGTTACGATAAGGAGCCTGATCAGCCTCGGGAACAATTGCTTGGATATGTGTTCCGTCGATGGCTCCAACACAGCCTCGAAACCACGGAAAAGTCACTCGAGACCCGCTGATAGCCTCTGGAACTGGAGTTCCCGGGTGTGGTTGGTTGATTATTCGAGCCTCTAGATCCTCAAGATACAAGAGTACCTTGTTATAATACCTCGAGATGGTATCTCCAGAGTGTTGGAATCGTTCCCCGGCAAGACGATTGGCGCCAGCGTGTCCAAAAAGGAATAAGAATATCATCACTTGTTCGGTGCAACTGAGGTGGATCGAATCTTCGAGATATGGTTCAAGGTGTCGCATTAGGCCTTTAAAGGCCACTTTGTTCATTCTACACACTTCTCGGAAGCGGACTGGGCTGCCTTCATAAACCTCCCTTGCATACATGGCACCGGTAAGTGCTGAAGTTCGGCAGGGGATTTTTGGACGGTTCGCTAGCTCAATTCGGTCTTGAGCAGCACCGATGAGCAGTGCAAGGACTTCATCATCACTGTCCGATGATGAAGCTGAAGACGATGATGAGGATGAATTCCATTGGTCTTCATCGGAAGAAGTTTCATCGTTGTCTGACATGATTTCAGGATTGTGGTCAACAGGATTTGTGATGGATCAAGTTCGATGATTGAAGTTGATCAAATTCAATCAACTTCATCGCCGAACACTTTTTGCATTATAAGGTACATTTAACAAAAAAACGTGAAAAAGAGAAAAAAACCAATTTATCGCTTTTTGCGATAACAAAATGCACAGCAACTTGATGTTCCTTAATGCGTTAAACTGGAGCCGAACGTAACCTTCTTGAATTGCTCCTGATTTGGTTTTTGAAGTTCTTGATTTGCAGTATTTCCAGATGATAAGTTCTTGATGATCATCATCCAGCACATTATCAATTTCATTTGAATTGGAATGTGAAGTGTTTGAAGAGATTTGATCAACTGAAGTCAATTTGAGATGGTGGTTATGTAAATGATTTAATAAATGATAATCTGATAGATGACTTGCAGTTGGCAACATATAGGATAGGATAAGATAGGATAGAAATGAAAAGTTGAAGTTGAAGTTGATTAGGTGAATGAGTATCTTTGATATTAATGCTGATGGTGATAGTTGATGGTTGATGGTGATGTTTGATGGCTGATGGTGATAGTCAATGGTTGATGGTGATAGTCAATGGGTAAAGAAAATAAATTGTATAGTAAATTATTTTTCAGTTTCACTCAAACTGTTGTCCTCTTTCAATCAATTAATGAACCCAAAAGTGGTGAAGATGGGCTTGTTGGTTGGGTTGTATTAAAGTGTGAAATCAGCTGCTATAGTGCTTGAATTGATGATGTTTTACGAGTTTTGATTCCAACAAACAAGAAGAAAGTCAAGGCAAGGTCAGCAGTGGTAAGGCTTAAAAAGGCTTTGAAATTGCATATTGTGGGGGAAAATTGATGAATCTACAACAAGTTTTCACATGCGGCATTGACATGTGATTTTTGGATGGTTCAAATTGTTGGATCCAACCTTCAAATTTGAAGGTCAGGTTTAAGGATCAACAAGTCAAAAATTTGAAATGCACAGCCTTTTCTTTGTATGATTGCAACTAAAGCTCAGCATCACAATGCACATCCCTGCACCCAGACAGGAAAACCTTCATTCATTGCTCTTCACTTACAATACCTCTGGCCAGACTTTGCATCTCAGCTCAACCGATTAGTTTCATCCATATGGATAATTGGAGAGCTGGTGAAGATGATTGGAAATGTAGAAGAGAGACTTGAAAGGTGTACTACATGCTATACAATCTATAAACTTTGATGTTACCTTAAGCACATCATGAAGTTTGCACTTAATAAGTTGACTGCAACTGCTCTTACATAGAATCTATGTTGTGAATGTTTATGAAACCTTAAAAAGAGAAGAAGAAAAAATCAAGTTGGGTGGCAATTTTCTCAAAACTGCTGTAAATCAGTGTGAGCAAAGCAAGATACATTTGTAAAATTGGAAGATGAATAATTGGGGAAAACTAGATGAGAAGAGAAGTTGAAAAGGCTGATAAAAAAGGAGAATTTGAGAGAAATGATGGTGAAAGGAACAAGGTGAAGATGCAATAGATTGTCATGTAGAGGAATTGGGTGAACAAGTAACATTCATTGACCCACCTTCTAGCCCCTTTGCTACTTTCCAGATTTGTTAGTACTATTAAATACCCAAAAGTGCGACAAGAACTTGGAGGCCTTGGTCCTAATGTTGTGGAGTTGCTGAGCACTATGATTGTTGAGAGTGCTAGGAATATTACCCAAAGGTGATTTGGCGTGAATCAAGCAGAGGAGCTTGCAAAATTCTTTGAGTTCCTCCTGCTTCAAACAGAACACACCTTCAACCTTGTTGAGTATGTCCAAGGCCTCCTCAGTGAGGACGCTTGGACTGTTGTCAATGGACTGGTTGCTAATGCTCATTTGCATCTCTTGGAAGCTGCCAGAGGCCACAGGTCAAAGGGAAGGAGGCATTGTATGTTGCTCAAGGACAGCGATTTGCTGGTAAAGAGCAGCAGTACCAGGAAGAGTCAGCAACATGAGGGTAAGCCAAGTGTTGTAGTGATGACACTTTGGCAAAAGTCTGGTTTAGCACAAGCTTAAATAAGCTCCTCTCCCAACACGGCCACATCTGCTCTTGAAGAGCGGCTGATGACTTAAACCCCGGGTTTGGCCTGAGCACAGCAATATTTTCAAGCTCATTTGCTTGAATCCCCAATGTTAGGACTCCAAACATCATGAAACCTCACAAAAGAATCAGAAGAGCTTCCTCAAGGTCCTGTGTCTCCTTTTAACACTTAGCATGTCAACAGTTGCGGATTGCAAGGAAATCAGACTCCGAGATCAAGTAATCTTGAATGGGCTAAGCACACATGTATACATGTATATTGAATAGGAGCCAGATTTGCAAGAACTCAACAGCTTGACTGTGTCACTTTGCTCAAATAAAGTGGTGTTAATGATGGCACAAGCATATGCACAAGGCTTATAAGAAGATCTGTTCAATTTTTTGTGAGGTTACAAAATGTCTAGAGCCCTCACAATGGGATTTCAAGTCAAAGTGCTTGAAAATCCTGCTGTGCTCAGGGTAAACCCGGGGTTTTAGCCATAAGCCCCTCTTTGAGAGCGGACGTGGCCGCGTCGGAAGAATGGCTTAAGACCTTTAACCTATGTTATCATTTCAAATCTTGACCCAAAACTCAACTGTTGTCTAATTCACATTGGTATATATGATGTATGCAGCTTAATACTCAAATACATAAATCTAAAATCTTTTGCTTTTGCTTTTCTTAACAATTCTCGAACAAAAGTTTTCGTGGGGGTGGTAAAACAGGTAAATCAGATACCAAACAAGCACTATAAAATCCCTCAAAATAAAAAGTAATCTTGAATCAGTTTTCTTTAATTTCAATCATACTTATTTTTTTTTACTTCATATTAAAGAAAAACACTAACGCAGAAGTACCAATATCATTGGCAGGATTACCCATAATGATACATTCAGAAACACCTTCAATCGCATCTCTTTTACTATAAAGAGCTGCATCAAACAAATGATCAGTAGTTTTCTCAAATGAAGCTAACATCAGCACCTAAATAGATCATCATCGAAAAAAAATCAAAGTTACAAAAGTCAGTCCAATTGAAAAACCACTAAATCTTGAGTTCATTGAAAAGACAAAAAAAACTTGCTGAGTCTTTCATTTTAGCTACACCGAATCTTGTGATACCCAAGACTTCTCCTTTATAACACATAATGTCTCCTAAGAGCATCATATGCCGTGGATCTACTTTAAGTCCATGAGAATCCATTGTATATGAGATTTCCTTTATGATACAATTTCTCCCAGCCTCAATTCCCAATATTGATTGAGCTTCCATGATGTGATTCGGCATGGTATGTGTACCCACCACACCTAAAGCATTCTCAAAAATATCATCATCAGCGGTCTGAGTGCCAAGCAACGGAAGAGAAAACACATTATAATCACCGTCGGTAGTCATCACCTCACGTAAACCATATCCTTCCACCAGTAGTTCATATTCATTTGATGTATTCTTATTAATCACAGTTCTGCCAGCTTTAGAAAGGCCCTGTGTAAAACAATCAGATCATTAAAGCTATGCTCTCATGTCTCTAGTGAAAGTAGCGGGCGTACTTTGATCACCACACCGGGCAAAACTCGTCTAAGGAACATAAGCTTTTGATAGAATGGCAACACATTTTCACCATCGGCTAAAACACCATCAACATATACTCGGATCCGGTTTTTTCGAGGTATCACTTGAATTTGCTAATCAAGAGGCAACACAAAGGTTGAGTGTGATGTTTGAGTTTAGGAAATTTGATCTCTCTTACGTCTTCACGGATTTTTAATTTTGGAGCGTTGACAATCGACCATTTGATCGTATCCAAAGTCACTTCCAGCTGCATCGTGATACATGAGTCAGCATATTACTTCAATCATCAGAGTTAACGTTCACCTTACCTGCAAGCGACGGACTGTGTCCATATCAATATGTATTCCAACATACATAGATTCATTCGAGTACATTCCTTCAATGACAGATGTGATCTAAAAGAACTGTGGAGGTCAGATAAATTCAATAATTTCTAGTCAAACTGAAAACATACATCACCAAGGTACGTTTTTTCTAGTCGGGCTTTGACAATTCTAGCAGCACGCTCGCTTTGATTAGCAACCAGAGGTGCATTGATGATAGGACCATTGATAACTTTAGACGCGTTGATGATTTCTTTGATCCGAGGTACACCAAGTGTAATGTTCATAGAAGCAACACCAGCAAAATGGAAAGTCTTCAAAGTCATCTGCGTTCCTGGTTCTCCAATGGATTGTGCACCAACTGCACCAACTGCTGTGCCTATATGTATGTAAAACCGAGGCCGTCAGTTTAGACGGCTCCACATGGAATTCGACCACCTCACACGAAGTACTTACCAGGCTCCACTTTTGCCTTGACGTATTTGACCCAACAATAGTCTAGGAAAGTATCGATTTGTTTGAGCGTCACCTGTGTCTTGTTTGCAACTATCTTCTTACTTGCATCTGAAGCCACCACAATCAACCATACAAAAATGATCAAGATGCAAGCAAATAAAAAAACAGACCAATCATAGAAACACTTACCGGTAACTCCAGCTGATAGATCAGTCTCCTCATCCCAATCGCCATCCATCTCCATGGCTGGATACATTCCATAACTCGCTCGATAAGTAGCTGCTGGTTTGGCTACTGAGTTGGTAATGAAATTCAAAACTGAATCTGTGAATCGGGTTGTACAAGCTTTGGCGAACCGAGGCTCAGCAAGTCGTTTGGCCACTGTTTGTACAATCTCATATGGATATAAACCTCGACCGTCGAGATGTGAGATAGTGGCCTGTGATTACAAGAGGTCAGAAAATAATCGACCGAATTTGATGCGGAAAATAATTTGATACCTTGGAATGACGCCATGTTCGAGCGAATTCAACCGGTTCCCCATCTCCTTCAAGATACGTTGGATCTAATCCGTCATCACCGTATGTGAATTGTACCACACCACCAACCGAATTCCGCACAGAGTCGTCATACCGAGTGGAAAGATCTTCTAATGCTTTCATCAGTCGACGTTGCATATAACCTGTCTCTGCAGTTTTGACGGCCGTATCTACCAGACCTTCTCTTCCAGAGATGGCGTGAAAGAGAAATTCTGTGGCTCGAAGACCTGAATGAAAACTGTTACGAACGAATCCTTTGGCGGGTGGCTCCTTGGCTTTTTTATGGAAATGAGGTAACGATCGATCTTGAAATCCATCGGGAATACGGTTACCGCTGATAATTTGTTGCCCGACACAAGCAACCATCTGGGCGACGTTGATTGTAGAACCTATATAATTGTACGTCAGTTTGACAAGCATGATTGGATCATCAATGTTTGACTCACCTTTGGATCCACAGGTAGCCATGATCAAAGGAGCGTTATGCCTAGTAAGTTCTGCCATACAAATGACACCCAAACTATCTCTGACTTTAGAGAGGACACCTGATATCATTGCCTCTAGCGTTTGATCCTGATCACGACCCGGTAGAGTTTGTAGCTGCCCCGCTTTCGAACTCTTAATCAAGTCATTCGTTTCCTTGTAAGCTTTTGCTACCAAACTTTCTTTTTGTGTAGACAGCCTTTCACCAGGTGTGACATCACCAACTCCGATGGAAAATCCCATGTTGGCTATTTCGAACAGATTGTGTAAGAAGTTTGAAGATGTATGCAAGAGGAAACAGAATCAAACTTACCCAGCCATCGCGCACTAACTTTTGCAAGACGATTCATGGCTTTGACTGCTTCGTCCGGACCATAGTCTCGATTGATAACAGCAAAGATTGAATCTTTTTTACCACCACCTACAATAGCTTTATCGACGACACCACACATGATCTCTGAATTTTGGATGACAAGCCATCCATCGTTGGGAGACATGTCAGGTAAGAATTCAGGTAAAGCTTTATGATGGGTGGCACATTTGGCCTCAATGTTGACTTTGACTGGTGATGCTTTGTTAGGTCGCATGAGCACGTTGAAAACTTGTTTTCCGGTCCAAAGTCGGATAGGTTTCCATATAACAGGGGGAGGTAGATCAATATGTAAAGTAGCATCTGATAAGTATTGCAAGGCCTGTGTGAATTGCTGGCGATCGTAGAAATTGTCTTTTCTCGAGAGGAGGTAGGAAGCAGTGATGAAATCTTGAGTGGCTGCGATGATGGGCTCGCCGTTCCGTGGAGTAACAAGATTGTATTTTACGTTCATGAGTTCGGTTGCTTCTGTGCGAGCTTCCTCTGTCTGCGGGACGTCTGGAAATCATGAACAAAATTCAAATAAGATAACACACATCAAAGGCAAGATTACTGAAAGAAGCTTACGCAAATTCATCTCGTCTCCGTCAAAATCAGCATTGTACGGTGTACAGACACATTCATTGAATCGCAGAGTCCGCCACGGCCGTATCTTTGCGCGATGAGACATGATGGAAAGTTTGTGCAAACTCGGTTGTCGATTGAATAATACCACACTAAAAGTTCAACGTTAGCCGGTGTATAGCGTGAACAGCTATAACCTAAACAATGGATGACTACTAACTCTCCGTCGTGCAAATGCCTCTCCACTGTATCCCCCATTCGTAAAGTGTTTGCGATCTGATTACGATTACCGAACCTCAAAGACCGTTTGAATTGGGTTGCTGCTCCTGCAGTACCAGGTGCTCCAGAGGCAATCAGATAGTTAGCACCGGGATGGACATCAGGACCATTACGTATGCATTGACGCAAACGGTCCAAGTTATGCGCTGTAACGCGCTCCGGGTAGGTCAGAACTTTAGCCATCCGATCTGGAACAGCCACCTTGAAGAGGATAAAAATTAACTCTTGATTCATCCGAAAAATTTAGATATGAATACTAACTTCAGTGATACTGAGATTTGGATCTGGGCCAATGACTGTTCTCCCTGAGAAATCCACACGTTTACCCGAAAGATTCCCTCGAAAACGACCAGTTTTTCCTTTCAGTCGTTGACAAAAACCTTTTATAGGTTTTGCACCCTGTCAAACAAGAAGCTTCAAGTGAGTGACTTGACGGGCATCAAGGATTAGAATGACGTACCATTTGTGAAGGCACTCCAGGGAGTTCGGCATTGATGTACATTGCAACGGAGAGTTGTAAAAACTCCCATTGTTCCTGTGTAGACAATCAGATCAGATATGGACAATATGCTGGGCACAAGATGGGGACGGACCATGATATTCTGAGTTGGAACACCCTTGACCAAACCAGTCTTGATCAATGTATTTGTAAAGATCATTTCGGTCAACTTGACTGTCACGTCGTCCTCATTCCTGTCATCACCAGAAAAGATTGTAAGTATTGGACAAGGCTGTAACATTCTGTCTGATCCTGATAGACTTACGTAGCTGCCTCCTGGGTTACACTTGGTCGAATGCAAACCGGAGGAACATGTATATATTGCCAAATATATTCTTCAGGCCGGCCTACTTCTGGATCCAAACCCAAAAGCTCGCAATCCTGATGACTCGCGAGAACGAGACGTTAAGACGCAAGATTCGATAAGACCATGACAAACACGAAACTCACAGAGGGTGTCACTCGCCGGAATAGATTTAGTACTCTGAGTGGATTCATATCTTCTTGTGCTTTGTGTAAATGAGGTGCAAGTTCTCTAGTTTCTTTGATTGCATTGATAAATGTATCCCGAAACGCTTCAAGTTCGTCGGCCTTCTTCTTGGCTCTGAATTTTTCATGTACGATTCGAAGTGCACCCACTTTCTTTACGATACCATTAGTAGCACCACAATATGGACAAGTGAGGACTTTACGACAAGCTGTGTTAACTTGTTTTGCATAATGTTGACGTTGTAAATTTTCAAGATTTGGTCTTCGAAATCGTTGTAGGTAAACTCTCCTATCTTCTTCACTCAACATCACTCTTGCACAAGTCTAAATCTTCAATAATCGGACTTAGTTCATGAACTTTTTTTACTAAATCAGAAAAAAACACGCACCTTGCATATATCTTGAAGCATTTGAATCACAGCCCGAAAATAACCAATATGGAAGACTGGAAGAATAAGTTTGATATATGAATAATGTCCAACGCAATCGGCCATCTTAGCGTTACAAGTGCCGCATGTTCCTGATTTATCGGATGTACCAAGCCTGGTATCTAAGACACCTCCTTTCGCTGGTTTCTTCACGAGAGGTTCTGGCGCGCCGGGGATTGCAAAACCAGATGGGTCGGTCGAACCGGACATACTATATAAATCTCGTTGAGTGGATTCATATTCGGAGATAGCAACGATTTCTTGAGAAGATAAAACTGAAAATTGTATATGCTTTCTGAGAAAGAGTATTTCAGTTCCCAGTCGTATAACGAGGTTTGATTAGGTATCGTGATAGTTGAGATGAATTTATCCTGACATCTTTTTAGGAGCCTCTTGAACGACCAATTGCTTCATCTTGTGAACCCGTGAAGTGCCCAAAAGCTTGCGTTCCAATCTGATATCGAGACGAAGATAGAGAAGCCAGAATTTTAAAACTTGAGGAAGTGTTTCCGGAGCTAAAAGAATTTCATCGGAGTTATTTGATCAGGTGATGGTCAAATTTTGAAGTTTTCGATTGATTGAAACAAGAAAGTTACATGTCTAGTTCGGATATAAAGCTTTTATTCTTAGAGAAATCTTTATATCGAGTTCTAGTGAACCATCGATCGACAGAGAATTCTTTCCTATTCTTTCAGGTTTGGATTTTCATTAACTCAACTCAACTCAACTCAGCTCAGCAATGTCATTCCGATTCTCATTCTCAAAACCACTTCAGCCATTCTTACTCGAATCTACAAACTATTCACTACCTCGTCACTTTCATTCTGCTTCACCACTTCTTGCTAGACGTTCACGTGAACGTAATCGACCGAAACCTCCCATTCATCCTTCAGTCCCTTCTTTCAAGATCTCTCCCGATGAACCTACTCGTACTACCACTTCACGTCGTAAACTTTTAGGTTTCAAATCTAGAGCGAATTCCGATGAGTTTGCTTGGAAATTGGATTCTAGTGCAAACGTACTCCGTCGACGAGATGGTATCACAGGAAAATATGAGCATTCAAAAGTAGATTGGGTTGCAGAGAAACGACGCAAGTTTTTCAAGCTTAAAGAAGAAGAACATGTTCAAAGAGAAGACGAGCGATTTGTGGCTCGTCGATCAAAAGATCCCACGTTCACAGACCCAATCAAATCAGACAACGGGCCACCACCTCCGAGCAAAGGTTGGAGTCTTCCATCCAGAGAATGGAACCGTGGTGCACCTACTCTTGTACATGAGTATGGTCGAGAGAGTAACCCGATATATTCATACCCGCAAAGACAAGCCCTTGCCCTTTTACGAAAAAGTGCTTTTGCTCATGAAAAACGACGTCAAGAACTGCTTAGTCAGCCTGCTTCAGCATCAGAAGATCAATCACAGGACGCTAGCTTTTGGGATTACGAAAAAAACTTTCGAAGTCCACTTTATGACTTTTTTAGGGGCGGTTCGACTATGGAGAATAGTTCGGTCACTGATTCTACTTGTTGAGTGCTTCTGGTGCTTGTATTTATATAGCACATCTTGGGGTCGTTACTTATTGATACTTCTCATTTATCTTGTGATCATCTCAGATCATTTCTGGTCTGTTGCACAATTGCGTCGGAAATCTTTTCAAGATCTTCAAGTTTTGTGGTACGTTCTGTTGAAAGAACGTAACTTACTCTTGGTTCAACGTACCGAAGCCAAAAGGACATTTGGCAAACTTGTCGATCCTGCCAATCCTGGCGAACCATTGTCCACAATCAAAAGCCAATTGAAAGCGGTGAGTTTCAAATAGGGGCTATATTCGCTAGAATACCTTAGCTCATCTGACCTCATCTTTCTCACTTCATTCTTTCGGCCCTTAGGTTCAATTCTCTATGCGGAACATCAAAGTGACAGTCTCTGAACGTCGTCGAGCAATCCAAGATAGGATCGATTTCCTAGATAAATTCCAAGCTAAACGTGGACGAAGCCCTAAATCTCAACAATGGCACATGGCTTTGGAGTTAGAGAAACAACGAATCCGAACAACTGAAGGTCATCAACTTCAAAATGAAAATTTGGACGAATACTTTGCTTCTGCCAAAGGTCGAGAGGAGCTTCAAAAGGTGCTGACTAAGAGAGGCTTGAAGGCACGAGAAGTGCTTGAAAACATGACGGCCTTTGATCTCGGAAATTCTCGGAATACCTCTTCCTGGACTGACTGCGAGGACCAAGCTCCGATAACAGCAAACTCTTCAAGCTAAAGTGGACATGACATTGTATCTCAATTCAAATCGGACTGAATTAGCGTGCTTAAGCTTTTGATCTGTTGAGATCAAACGAAGAGGAAAGCAAATGCACTTTCGGCCATGTGTACTCTACATACCCAGCTCTGCGGTTTTGCGAGTCTCTTGGGTCCTCGCTGAATATGATTGCGTGAGGAAGTAATTATCAAAACATTCATCAGAGTCAGCTTGTCCTAGGAATGATACATTCATATCACTAACTGTAAGGTAACAGAGCCAACTTCTTAAGTAGTCTTGCGTCTGAATAAGACTGCTTACAATCCTCGTACATCATACAAGAGTGTGATAGAATTGACAAACAGGCGCGAAAGAATTTCACACTTGGAGGAAAGCAAATCATAGTTTCCTCTTTGGACTATCCTTACATAGGACACTGGAGAGTTCTTATTGAGGTGCATGATGCAAAGATATTACTACACCACATGCACTTCAACACAGTTTACATTCAGAAAAATTGGACCAAAACCCTTGCTCCTCCCTCACTAATGCCTAGCCAGCTGCAAAGTACTCTGTTGGCTGTGAAATCCATACCTACACGAGTGTGAAGAGTTTTTAATGCAGTGTCAAGGCTGTGAAATACAAAGCAATTCACAGCAAAGATAAGAAAATGTGGGACGGGATCCAAACCAGTTGTTGCTGCAAAGCTGTAATCATTTGGTATGACTGTTCTGGATTAGGTTGCCATCATGGGATGGTATTATGCGGCTACATTCAATTGAGATGCAAAATCATACCACTGTGGTGCTTGTGGGGTGTGTGATAATCAATGGACAGGAGATAGAGATGCCTTAGCTGCTGGTGTGGGAACAGAGGTGGAAGACTGTTCCTTGAGTGGAGATGTGTCCTTGGGAGGTGATGGGATCTCAATAGGACCGTAAGAAACTGTCTGAATCACTGACAAAGAAAAGTAGTTATTGCCAGAGGGTTTGCACAAGGAGGCGTAGGGGAATAGACATCATTCCTGACAGAAGGAAGAGAAGATAGTCGTGATAAACAATCTACTGTGGTTTAACTTCTGGGATGTCTTTAGATGATTTAGATTTAGAAGACTTGACTGAAGTCACTGATAAAGGCAATGATGGAGGAGATTGCCATGCAAAAAGAGGACACAGAGATAAGGTGTAGTCATCTGGAAATGTGACTTTTGAGCTCCCATGGATTTACACTTCATGGAGACTCCAAGCACATGCCCAGACTTGTCCCCAGAATCATTTTGGCTGTAAATCTGGATTTTCTAGGCAGATGCCCGGTTCTGAGCACAAGGCCGGGCAGGTGCCTGGATTCTACTTTGTACATATCCTCTCATTGATCTCATGTGATTTGACCCTTTCTGCCATTGACTATATGTATTTCAGCGTTGGGAAATTTGTTTGCTGGGTTTTCAATTTCAACAAACAATCAAACTTCTCTTAGAGCTATGAGTGAAGCCAAGGATATACTTGGCAGCTTGGTTGGCAGGGACGGGTTTCAGCAAGAGGTCAAAAGTCACATTTTCAGATAACTAGTCTTTGAAGGAGCAATCCGGGGTCATGTAGTAAGCTTGCTGGTCTTCAGCTTTGAGATTCCAAAGTTGCAAAAGCTTTACTAAGATACCATCATGTATTCATTGACATTGTCTTATTCAATCCTCAGCCTTTCTATTGTCTGATGCTTGCATACAAATCGAGTTTTCAAAGCCATCAGAAGCTTGGATCACGAGATAAAAAATGATGAGATGTGACTGATTGTAATTTCACTTGTCATGCTGTATTACGCTTTCTGTATATATCTTAAAATGTCTGTTGGGAAACTTTCACGAAAGGAAAACAAAGTCCATATGAAATTGAGAAAAGCGTATGCGTGATAGAAAACAAGAAAAGACACTGATTGCGGTACTAAACATGCGAATGTGGACACTCAAATTCCACACATTGACTTCATAAACTTACATAATCTCCTATCTGATACACCATTTACTTCACCTGGGTACGAGGGTAAAATTAATGGGACTAGATTCATGAGTTGACCACCTGGAATTGATTGGATGGAATATTGGTAGCGATGGTTTTGGGCAGATCGATCTGCTTGGCATTGGATGGGTCTGGCTGTGGTGGCGCTACAGAAATTTCAGGCGCGAAAGTTTCTTCATCGTCCTCGTCAAACCACCCTTTACTTCTGGTGACACTGAAATTCATAATTTGAACGAGTATAAGCAGTGATCAGCTTGCGGGAAAATCCAACACTCGTCGATAATACAAGATATCAAAATCGTTTCAGCTTACGCTTTGTTCCAACCCTTGTAGCGTTTCTCCCGCTCCACATCACTGATACTAGGCTTGAAGATTCTGCGACCGGATTGATTCACTTCACGCATCGTGTCGGGTTTTGAGAGATCCCAACCAAATAAACCGATCGCATGTCCAGCCAAAAGTGCTGCACCAAGTGCGGTCGTCCTACAAAAATCAATAATCATAAGCTCGTGACAAAGTAAGGAAGACCAGATGCACGGACACCCACTCTCTCATTTCAGATCTTTCGACGGAGACCCCTAGAATGTCTGCCTGTAATTGCAATAACACATCATTCGCAGTCATTCCTCCGTCGACTTTGAGGATCTTGAAAACGCTACGCGGTCTAGTAGGACGAGTAGTTGGAAACTCCTCTATACCAGGCGTGATCGGACTCAATGGGGGTTCTACTGAGCTATTGGTGGAAGATGATAAGGAGGATATAAAACTTGAACTTGAGGGTGTGGGAGAGTGTTGCTGGTAACCTTGCTGTTGATCTTTGTCCATCGCATCCAAAATGGCTTTGGTCTGGAAGCATGTAGCTTCGAGGGTTGCACGAGCGATGTGCTGTTTGGTTGTGAACTGAGTAAGTCCGACAAGTAAGCCAGTCGCGGTATCATCCCAACTGTTGGAAAAAAATCCCTAGAGGTGATTAGCGCGGTGTCACAAGTTTATATAGGTTGCGACTTACTAGGGCGCAAATAATCCACTGAAGGCGGTGACAAAGTAGACACCAGCGGTATCCTCGACCTCACTGGCCAATTCCCCAATTTCAGACGAACTCTTGATAAGTCCAAGATTATTTTTGACCCTAAACATTCAAATCAAAGATCATGAGAAACGGGGTTGCTTCAAACACGCTCTAGTAGGGTTAACAAACCACTGGACTGAAGAACCTCCCACAGCAACAGAACCTTCCAAGGCATACATTGGGGCAGAGTCAACACCTAGTTGGAAACCAGGCTGATTGCATACAAAATCGACGTCAAGACTAAACCAGACAATCCTTGAATTGATTTGAAGAACTTACAGTCGTGAGGAGACCGCAACGACTCCAAATAGGCTCAGTTCCAGTGTTGTAAAGCATAAAGCACCCTGTTCCATAGGTGCTTTTGGATTCTCCAAGAGAGAGACAGAGATTCCCGACAAGCGAGCCTTGTTGATCACCAACCAAGCCAGAGATAGGGATACCCTCGAGGGCTGGATGAGAGTTGGTAAAGGCTCCAAATTTTTCAGCGTTTGAAACAATCTGCGGAAGTCGGGCGAGGAGTTTTTCGGAATGAGGAAAATCGAAAAACTCGATGAGGTCAGGACACCACTGAAGAGTCTTGATATCCATGAGCATGGTCCGTGACGCGTTGGTGACGTCGGTAATGTAAAGTCCACCCTCAAGTCCGCCCGTATAATGCTGCATATGGAGAAGGGCAATCTCAGTTTCCTTCGAGGGCAAAAGAACGAGTTTTTTTGACATACCCAGAGTAGATAAGTATCGACAGTTCCGACCAGCAGTGTTTCTGCGTCGAGCGCGTCCCTTACAGCATCACAGTGGTCAGTGAGCCAGCGTAATTTGAGGGCTGCGAAGTAATTACTGATGGGCAGGCCTGTTTTCTTTCGCAGCTGATCCACGCCAGTGCCAAATGTGCTTGTCTTTGCGGAGAGATTGTGAACAAGTGAAGTAGTACGGACATCGGGCCAAGCAATGGCTCTGTGCACTGCGATTTGATTCAAAGATTATTAGAGACATCAAAGGTTGACGGGTATAGTGATAGACACTTACAGATTCGACCAGAGATTTGGTCCCATACCACAGTCGTCTCACGCTGGTTAGTGAACCCAACAGTGGCGATGTCGGTGGCTCGATGGCCTAAAGCCTCGAGCTGGATAACCGCCTGGTCAATACAAGTATCTATACTTGTGATCCAGTCTTGAGGTTCATGTTCATGCCAGCCAGGGTGAGGATAGTCTGGTAAAGTGAAAGTGAAAGTGAAATGCATAAGTGGATGCAGAGCAGTAAACAGGATGATCTTATATGTTTAACATACGTTGTTTATACTCTTGTTGGTGACTCGCCATGACATTGGCATATTGGTCGAACACAAAGAATCGACAAGAGGTCGTTCCAACATCGATGGCACTGATAAAGACGATAAGAAATCAACTAGTTGGTCAAGAAGGGGCAAGATATCAAGGGATATAGACTCACCCGACAAATTGAGGCATTGAGTTTGATGATTTTGAAGCTTTGATTAGCTTTCAAAGTGTGTTATGAAATGGAACCAAACAGGAAACAAAGATAAGTGGAAAGTGATTGAAGGTCAACAAAAAGGTGATGGTAAAGAGACTAACCAAGATAAAGTGATGAGATGGGTAATGATAAAGTTAAAAGGTAAACAAGGTTTTAATACTCAAGGGTAAGCAGAATGATTTAAACCAATAAGTGCAGAGATCGATTCAAGCAAGGGAAGCAAGGTTTAATAATGAATCAAGTTTAGTTAGGAGTTAAGTTATTAATTCTAACTGATATGCGGATCACTGTTAATCTGAGCACATATCATGGGATCAGTGTATTGCACTACATTTCATATATTTGGCCTTGTGTGATGCGGTGATTCAAAATGCATGATTCATCATGTGGTCTGGTTTGACACTCACTTTGCTGTACGATTTTCAAGTTATGCGCAAGGTAGATGTAAAAAAAGAAACCTATAGACGGTCGACCAAGTCTTTCAAGATGGATTGAATTCGAAGAGGATAGTTAAAAGAATCTAGAGTGGCTGTTGAGCTGTTGAGGACTTGAATGAAGATTGGAATATGAGAGTCTGAAGATAAGTACGGTGGAAAGAGACAATGAGATTTCAACAAACGCAATCCTCGGTTATGAAATCTCAAGGCCAAGAGGACGATGGGAGTATGACATCAAACATCTTCACTCACTTTGGCTGGTTTTGCCACTTCGGGTGGGTGTAAGTAGGATGAATCGGGCACGAAATTTGTAAATTATTGCTTGCAGAAGACCTTGAAATTATTGAAATGATTAAAAAGTCCGCGAACAAAGGAAAGGTGATGAAAAAAGAAACCTGATGAGACTTTTGATTAAAATAACCCAATTAGATGAAAACGTTGATCTGAGGGTGCGAACTAGGTATGATTGTCGAACTCTTAAGAACGACAAACCAAGGCTGCAAGGCATATTCGCCTCGCTTCATTATCTTCACTTGCTTCAGTTCCCTTCTGATCGAGCACAGAACCCCTGGAATTGATCACGAGGACAGTTCATACTTGATTTAGTGCTCAGCGTACCCCGCAGAAGATTGAAAAGGGTCTGTGATCTCGCTTCTCCACATAAAGCATTGTGAGCCAGTGGCTAGCGCAGTGGCTTGACTCATAATCCGGGGCCCCGCTCTCAATTACTTCTTCCCCACTCATCTCGGGAACTGCGCCATCTCCACATTTTTTCACATCAGGCTTCTCCGGAATGTCCTCGGAATTCTAAGCAATATGTACATAGGCTGTACTCATGGTATGTATATAATGTAAATAATCGTAGATCCAACACAGGCTAGCATGACACAAACTTACCCTGGCATCTGTTTAGCTTAACAAAGCCCTCTGCGCGGCCGCGTCCACGCCCTTGCAGAGGAGCTTATGACGGTGTATTCCTGGCGTGAGCAGAACATGGTCGGACTCGCGGAAGTTTGGGAACGTTCCTTACAGTCAAACCCGCGCAATTGCATAATTGGGGGAGATGGCTGTTTCTATGCAATTTGACCGATTATTCATTTTGGGAGGTTTTGTGATAATGCATAGTTTTATGCATTATGGCCATAACGCATAGAGTTATGCATTATGACCATGCGATGTCCAGGCTTGAAAAAGATACCTTGTAGCTTGTACTTGTATTGCAGCATAATTCACGTATAGAGATGTATGTACATTTGTTTGAGAGTAAGGTTAAACTATAGATAGCAAAGAAAAAAGAAAAAAACTGTTTGTTTATTGAGTTACTTGAAGAAATCGGTAATCAATGCTTGCTTCTTAGTACCAAAAAAAATCTGTGACTCAAGCGTTTCACTGTATTTCTGTAAGTCAGAGTCCAAATTCATACCAGTAGGTGCTCCAGTGCCCTCAACACCTGAGAAGTACAGATGCTTCGGTATGTAGCCGACCCTAACCTTATACTGTATGGTCGGCTAGTTGCCGATGAAACCTGCCAGATGCTTTCAGGCGAGTCAGACGATCACCTTAAAGGCACAACACCAAGTTGTACTTTTAGATTTTTGTTTCTCACTCTCAAATTCGTCTATTTTCTGATTTTGAACCACTCAAGTATGCGGGAAACATGTTTTACGTTCAGTTGAAAGATTTCAGGATCCAAGTGCCAAAATTCAGATGCAGAGGCAGATGCATCTGACTTTACACGCCATATACACATCTTCACAACCAGATTCATCTGTATGGTAACTCTGCACAGCAAGTACAATACCAGATGAATCTGGATATGTACCAGTACACCAGACCCGTCTGCCTACATCCGCAACACATCAAAGGTGAAAGTAACCAGACACATCTGGATACATCCGCCACACCCATATCCAGATGCATCTGGCTACAAATACACTACGTGTTATTTTCACAAGCAGATGGATCTGCTTCTGTACACTACATCCAGTATGATCCATCTGACTCATGACTCGAGACAACAAACCAGATGAATCTGGATATGGACTGACACATCTGGTCACTTCCACTTTCTGAATCAACCAGATGCATCTGGTGACTTACACACCGAGATATGAAGTCAATTCTACATATACAAAATAAATACCAGATGTGTCTGGCTATATCAGCCTCATCGCAAGTTAAAACAAGCAGATGTGTCTGGGTATTAGCAAACGGTCTCACTTGGCAATCTCAACACAAGACATTAATTTCAGCTCAGCATGTAAGACTCATTCAACACAAGGACAGTAGACTAGAATACAAGTATATCCGGTGGCATAAATGCCAAGTCCATTGCGTTCTGATACGGTTCACCTAAATCGTCCCTATTCAGCCGGTGCTCTTCCAAGTCCTCCTCATCAAGGCCTTTGGCAAACACAGGATCGCCGTTGATCATACATACCCATTGCTGACGGTTCCGATCCATCAAACCTTTCCAGTGTTGTGCAAGAGACACATTCGCTTCTGCTGGATTATCACAATAAATATTTGTCTTATCAAGTAATAAAGGGATCTCGTCATCCCAAACCATCCACCTACGGCAGTATGTACGAGATAGTGAGTTGTGCACGGCCTTAAGGACCTCTTGACTTTCAAGCCACGCTTCTTTTGAAAGAATACCACCGGCTTGAACTAGCTCAATTGGCCGAGTGCCATTTGGAAAACCAGCTTCATAAGCTGCTTTGCAATGCCACAAAGAACAACACACGTAGGACACATTAGATAGCTACACTGAGGCAAATGAAGTTGAATATACATACGTATCATACTCAAAGCCGCCAGGTTATTCAACTTGGCCTCCATTTCAAGAGAGTGGAGTACCACGTTTCGCACCTCTCGTGCGACCCTTCTTAACTCTTCTTCACAGCTACGCACAGTGCGGTAAGCTTCTATTCCCCTTTGAGTTGCATGGTCTACTGCCCACGCCTCTTCAGGGTGAGTCAAATTGCCGATATTCCAGAAAGGGTCAGTGATGGGCATCTGGTGTACCTCATCTAAAGTGGGTATATGCGGAGGAGGATGATCTGGAAACTTCTCTTGAAGTTTCTCAATTTGTGTTATATAGGCTGACCATTTACTCTTGACAGCGGCAACTCTTGTGTTCATGGTAGTTTTGAATCGCTGTTGAGCAGAAGCACCTGTGTATTACCAACATTAGACAAAATGGTTCAGTTTAATGATACAGTAAGAAAGTCTTACCCTGATCCGCTTTACTCCATCGCTTCTGATGTTCGATTACGCCGACCTTCGCTTCGTAAAGGTTTTCTTTTGCCAAGCGAACTTGGAAGCAAGCGCGAGCCAGAGGATCTATGGGATGATGATATGTCAGCTACTCACGAGTCTCGAAACAATGAGAACAACACTAACCAGTTGCTGCTGCCATGTCTTGAAACTCGGGACCTCCCAACTCCGTCGTGATATCTTGGATATCTTCAGCCAGATCAGCCAGTATGCCGGGTAATGATCGCAGCTCAGCAAAATCGGCATCTGACATATCTCTTCGTCGCTGACATCGAAGTTGATCCACCCGCTCGCTTTGAAAATTTTAGAAGTTGTATAGTAAGCTAAGAGAATGATAGATGGATCCAAGCTCGATAGAAAGTTACTTACTGACATTTCTTAAAGCTCTGCTCAAGGTCAATCAGGCGACATAAACGTAACTCAAGGTGTTGGATATTTGTATTGCCCATATTTTCTCTTTGGCAAGTCTTCTGACGTTCCCACTGCTGCGAGAAATATTCAGTACGATAGCCAGTGGCCCTCTTGAGCTCTTCAAGAAGTGCCAGTGCTTCTTGCATGGTTGAAACACCTTTTTTGACACGATCTTTCATCGATCGGCCTAGCCCAATCACAAACCGTCAATAGTGCACAAAAATGAGAAAATTCTTGAGATAGACTAGCAAGGCTTACCTATGTTTGCTTGACCCAAATATATTCTATGAAGTGCTCGAAAATGTAAAGCGTCAAGCCGATGCTGCTTGGTAACATAACGTAGAAGGGCAACGAGGGCATCTAAGAAAGACCAATCTCGCTCCAAACCCTCGCCATCCGATAGCCCCCAGCCTTCATTTAGACGGGGATTATAGTCTAATTGACAACTCCAGCGATGTACATATGCGTGGAAGACGCTTGTACCAAACTTGAGCTGACTTCTTTCACGCTCTTGGACAAACAAATCATTCTGTAGGTTGATACAAGTTATATACATTGTATCCTCAATTCTTAGATCAACAGAAAAGACTTACATTTTGTAATCCTTTCTCGAGTGTACAACCAATATCATACAGAACTCCTACAGTTTTAGGAGGTTTGTTGGGCTCTGCAATTCGTTTGAGTAAGGTTGCAATCATCGAATGAGCAAAGTGTGATCTGGCAAAAGATGAAACATTGATCAGCACCCACCAATTTGAAAAAAAAGAACAGAAACATTACTTTTCCCCGCTTTGTACAATATTTATGAAGGCTAAGAATTGGTCATGCCTACAAGCCATACCCATGAGGCCATTGTCATCAAAACCACGGAACGTGGTGGCACACCTACGGTCTGCAGCGGCAGTATGCTGTGCAGTGCAGGGATCCTGCGGGGTTGGTCCAAATATCATCAGAAAATTTGAATACTAAAACAAATCAAACAATAACACTGACCAGTGGTATTTCAATATGTTGCCTAGCTCCAGGCCTGGCTCCAGGCTCCCATGCTTTAACTTGTTCTTCGGTAAGAAAAAGGGATGGGTACTGAAGTCGAATCTCTTCATATTCGCAACTAGCCGCGGCGTGTCGTTTATGTTGAAAATTGCCGTCTAGACAAACAATATAGTCGGGCTCATTGGGCCGCTTGGAAGTCTCGCCTGGCCCAAAACATCGTGGGCATATAGTTGCCATCTTTTGTAGTTTGCTTAGCTCTAGTGATAGATCCTGCATTTTGTTGCGCGCCTTCAGAATTTGACGATATGCGTGAACGGCACATGCCATTGGTCGTCTCCAACTTCGAGGCTACATTGTTGAATCCAACATGATGTTGATATACTATTTGTCAAAAGGGATTCTAACAGCAGCGCTTACCTGATTGGTTCCATTGATCAATATCAAACCACAGAAAGCATCG